TGTTCCTTTTTTCACTCAAATTGAAAGTTTTCCAAGCTCTCTCGAAAATTCGCCTCCGGCACAATTCATATATTGCTTATTTTTTTTGTTTTTTTTTCTCTCGAATTGTTTGGTTTTTATTTTTGGTAATTTTTACACTTTGCCTCTAAAAATAGACAACTTGAGAATATTTGCAAAAGTGGAAGATTCGAAGTTCAAGTTTGCTGGTTTTTAGTTCAAAATTGATGCAGATGGAAACTTTTTTTTGGCTTACGGTAGGCTTTGTGAAAGCAAAACGAAAAAAAATTAAAAACCCAGAGAAAAGTCTCAGTAGCCTTTGAACTTACTGTAATCGTTTCAAAATTTCATAAGACTTGTGATGTTTTCCCAATATTTTTTTTCTTCAAAAATTTTTTTTCGATTCTGATTGATGTGAGAACAATAACATCTCCGATTCGTCAAACAATCTATTATCTTTTTTTTTCTTCGGAAACGAAAATATATTGGTTTGTTTGATTGTCCATGAGAACGTTGGCCAAACAGTGAGACCTTTTTCTTAAATTCTTCGGAGTTTTTATTTCATTCCTTCTTTCTCGATATTTTTGATGTTTTTCATATTTTCAGCTATTGAAGCTTTTCGTGGATGGTTTCAAGTAGAAGCTTATGATTGAGGTGCACCCTGACCCCAAAAACGGTTCTTGCTTGTTGCTATCAAATGAGATATAATCAGAGAGACCGAAACTGGAGAGCGCAGCGCGACCGCGACGCTTCTAGCCATCCTAGAGAGTTTCAAATCGTACCAATGGAATATATATCCCTCTTAGAAAACTTTGAAATATCCAGTAAAAATCCAATTTCAACTATATGACCTAGAAAAGTTTTTTTTTTAAAAGAAGGCGAAATTCGACAAATCGCAACATTTCCGCCCAACTTGAACCGTTTCTGATCTCATCATTTACCCGTCTTTCAGCGCCTTCCCATTGTTAATCAAATCAGTTGAAAGATCAGTAATCGGTCAAATTGCCGGTGTCGCGTCGCCAGAAATTGTTTTCTTTCATTTCAATTCATTTTTATTTTTGTCCCTCCTTCGGAACCCGTTCACCGACCATCTAATCAACGTAGAAGATTTGTGGTTTTTGTTTTTTTGGACAACATAACCAAATATGTCTTTGGAAAACGCGATTCAATTCAATAAGATGCCTGATTTCGTTTATTTTCAAACATTGGTCTAAAACCAATTTCACGTCAATTGTACACATTATACGAATCTGATCGACGTAAATTTTTTTTTTAATTCTTAACTTCATCCCAATTTTTTGAAAGACATTAAAATACTCTGCCTCTGCAGGACTTCGAAAAAGTTGAAAATTGAGACCATTTGCAAAATTTATAGTGACTATTGATAATTTAAATTCGTTTCAAATTTGCAAGAGCGAAAATAATAACCATAGTGTAATTCAGGAAGAGATTCCAATTTTTTTCAGAAACTTTAGGAATCGTAGGATCTGAAAAAATTTAAAACAATTCAAACTGAATCGTTTTTCTTTTTCCGTGATTTCAAGTTTTGAACATTTTTCAAATCTGTCGAGCGAACCTCAATAAATCGTTTCGAAATAACAAACTTTTTCAAATCAAAATCCATAAAAATGTATCGTAATCCTTTCATTTGAAAATTTTCAAATAGAGATCTCTGGACCCTTATTATACCTTCGCGTAGTATAGAATCGACCAAAATTAAAAACTAACCAATCTTATTTTTCCGTGCGGCAGAAATTGCAATTTGCAAAGGCCCACATTCCAAAAATACCATTTTTAGTTTGAACCTTATTTCGAGGGTTCCAGAAACCAAAGTAAACTCTAGACCTTTTTAATAATCTTCCGAGTTTATTTTTTCGTCTTTCCGTTTTTAAACTCGAAGAATGTTTCATATTCCATTTTGATGTCCAATGTTTTCGATTTGACTTGCAAAAATATATGAGGACACAAAAAACAGTGCAAACTAGGCTACAGGGGAAAAAATCGGACCAAAATAGAGCACGAAAATGAACGGAGAAGGAAAAATACTCTTTTTTTTCCTGATTTTTGTTCCCGTTCCGTTTCTCCTCTCAATACCCTCAATTACCATTCAAATATTGTTATGCGAGCTCAAAAAGGATTATTTATAACATGAGCAATCGCTTTGTTTCCCAGGCAAAAACAACTTTTTCGCCACGGCGAATTGACGCAAATCGAGTGGGCGTGGCTTTAGGCAACGCCCATTTCCTTCGCCTTGGAGCAATCATTTGCCGAATACGGTAGCTGCAAGGAGAAGCTCTTCTATTAGAAGCTTATTTCAACCTTTGGATGAAGCTTATAAGAAGTTCCGAGGGCGTCTTTGCACACTTTTTTAGTCACTTCATCAACCTTTGAAGGGATAGTTGTCTCTTTTCTGCAAATACAGCATATAGGAGCAATTTTTCCTCAGTCTAACAGTCCTAATAGACCTTACTCGCTTTTAGAATCATAAAATAATGTAAATCCGTGTTAAAAGAAAATTTTATCAGTTTTTCTTCTGTTGAAAAAAAGAGAAAACTCGAGAAAGGTACTTAAAAAACAGACAGCTCCTTTTTAAAAATTCTATCAAACAATAAGAGGATGAACCCTAGAGGATCCTTTAAAGTTTGTAATTGAGCTTTCTTCTTAAAACTTTCTCCTTGCTGCATAAACTATTTTATGGTTTAAGCGTAAGTCATTTTGGGTCGGTTGCACCTAGAAGCATTTGAGGAATATCTAAAAAAAATTGGTTCAATTTACAGTGGAACTACAAAATTTGAAAGCAGTTTATAAAATTTTGAGAGTTTTTCTGCCTTCTTAGAGTCATTTTTTTTGAGCTAGGCTTTCAATTTTCCATGGGTCTATTTTTTTGAATAATTTTTATTTGGGTTAGGATCTTTAACCTCTTACTTCGATCCAAAAAATCTTCTTCTCTTCACGTTTTCAAGTTCCTGGAAATGCAACAAATATTACTTTTTTTCCTGCCTAGTTATGCACACACTTTTCGGGATCATCAGCATCATTTTGCGCCGCTCTTTTTTTCCAAAGTATATATTATATATAGTCGTTTGGCGTCGAATAATTCATGCGAGTGCGTCGTTTCGCAAATAGAATATTCGATGGCGCGAATATAAACGCCGGCCTCTGAAAGATATAACTTTTTTTTTCACGCTTCCGTTTTTTTTCTTTCTGCTCGGCCGCCCACCTCGAGTTCAACTTGCTAGTACTTTTTTGCAGATTTTTATTAGTTTAGGTACGGTTGTAGTTTGGTGGCTTAGAGCTCTGCTTGCTCTGCAAACGACATAAATTTGAACTCTCTCATGGTTTCTTTTTTTGATATTCAAAACTTTGAAAGTTTGTCGGAGAGTTCCCATAAAAAAAAGCTTTTTTGAAGAGTTCAACTGTCTAAAGTCTTTCTTAGGGAATTTTTTTTTTGAAGTTCAAGACTTGAGTTTCTCGATGGACTTTGAGCTTTTTCGAAAGGTTTTGCTAGATTTTTAACTTAGGGTTCAGTTTTAATCAATTTTTGTTAAAGTGACTTCTAAAGCATTTAAATCGCACGGAGAGACTCTAGAAGAAGATATTTCTAATAATTAAAACCTCGTTTCCAGTGATCATAGAAAAAGATAAAGTATATAAAATAATACTTTCTTGAAATTTGATTTTCTATGTTCAGTTTTTTTTCCGTGATCGAAAAATGTTTAAAGGAAACTTTTTTCATACTACTAATTTTCAAACCCCTAATTTTGTCGCGTTCTTCCTCCTCTTAGTTCAACAACAACACGTAAAGTCTAATTAGGGCGCATTTTTGACACAACTGACAGCCGCGCCCGAATTTAATTGATTTCGAGGAAAAGAAAAAAAAAAGGTTTTTGAAGATGGACCACACCGTTAGTGTTTGCATGTATGTGCGTGTGTGTGGCGGTGAAAGAAGTTAATTAAAAGTCTTTTTCTTTCCAGTCTCGACAAGCTTTCTGACATGTTTAATTTACAGCGACCGACTGAGTGCTCCGAGAGCAATTTCTTTCTTTTTCTTCTTTTTTCGAAATTAGTTTCCCATTTTCGAGACCGAGTGTGTTTATGTCACTTTCCTTTCCGTTCTTTAGTGTTTCAGTTTTAGTTTCTCTCTCTTTAAAAGACTGCTGAGTTGGCTTGAAACATCGTGGAAGGCTAGAAGCTTCTCTAAATCAGTATTGCTCCTGTTAAAGCTATCAAACGGATGGAATGGATATATACTCAATCTTGGTTTTCTCATTCCGTTTTTTTTTATTTAATGAAGGGAAAATCCCGAGAAAATTTTATAGTGCTCAGGTTGAGCTAGAAGCCTAATAGTTTATCCTTTTTACCCATTGAAGTTGACAAAAGAATGATACCTTATAAAGATTTCGTAGATAACTTTTCTCATATTAAAGCTTCAGAAAGTTTTTTTAATTATTTTTTTCATGAACTGGGTTTTTTTTAACAAATGTGTTGCTCATGTCAGCACTGTATTCTGATTTCAAGCCTTGTTCGTTCCAAAAAGAGTGCAAAACTGAAACGGAGGAGGAATGGGAAAAAGCGTCATTTCGGTGCTCAGACCACGCCCACCTCTCCTCTCTGGAGCACATCTTCTCCTCCCCCTCCTCTTCCTACTTTTAGCCCCGGCCCATTTTAATTGAACCTCGAACTAGGAGAGCTTCTCACTCAGTTCTCTTCCTTTTTTCTCCGCGTTCTTTGTGTTTTTTGAACTTTTGAACAACTCATTTAGGAAATAATGATCTTTTGCACCAGTCCATGTGCATCTACTCTGCACTCGAAATTGTTTTTCTATTATTTTCGAACTTTACCCGTGCTCTCTGGCTTCAATTAAAGACAATTACCGTCGATTAAATTTTAATCGCTCGCTTTTTATTTTTGTTCAAAAAAAAAAAGACGCGAACGTCTTCGTGAAAGCTCTTTTTGAAGCTTGATGATTTTCAGAAATCGACAAGAAAATCATGTTGCACTCGATGTCAGCCTTCCACCCGTACATCCGCCCGACTTTGGTACCAAGCATGTCCGACGCCTCACCTTTCAGGTAACGAAAAATGTGAAATTTGGCTTTTGGCCTCTAAAAAGTGTACTACAAGTATATCAAGTTTGAAAGGTTCAACTGAAAATTTTTTAGACATTCTTTCCTCTTTCTGAGAAGAAAAAATGAATAAAGAAACGATTTTTTTAAAACCTTATTTGGTGCCTTGGAGCTTCCCTTAGACCTTAGAGACTCAAAAAACAACCTAAGTAAATTTTCAAGTTTTTAGTAGCACCTTAAAATATCATAATTTCCTCATTTAAATAGGCTTTCGAAATTTTATGAATTTGATTTTTTAGACGTAATATTTTTCCCAGAACGAAAGCAAACTTATTCACTTTTGCTCATTTACAAACCATAAGTATTCATGAATGATCAATAATTCTTCAAGAAAACTTTTTCGACCAACATCATGGAAAAATATTCAACGAACCAATAAGATCACTTATTGGATGATTCGCATTAGGGCGCATTTAGGCCGGACGTTCCGCATCCGGTTTTTCATCTCAAAAAGCAAGAAAAAATAAAATCAACTCTGAAATTAGATGAATGTCAAAAAGAATCTCGCTTAATACGTTTAATGCGTATCTACGCAAGTCCCCCATAATCCACTCAGGATTATATTTAGTGGCTTTTTTGGGGTTTTTTTCAATTAAAACCTTCACATGCAAGCATTTTTGGGCTCGTCATTCAAGGCCCATTAAACACGGCTGCGGGATCCTAATGCGATCTTTTTAGTCTGCAAATTGCGAAACCGAACGCGGTCGGTCCAAGAGCGAATGGAAATGAAGCTTGAGGCGATTTTGAGATAGAAATGGTGCTCCGTTGACAATGTGCTGATTTAAGAATAAGTTTAGGATTCTTAGGAGAAAACTACGAAAAAAAATGCTGCTTTTTTGATGGTTGGGACCTGGAGGAACACGTAGGCTTTTGAAACCCTCGATTTTCTAGAACTGAAATTTAGAATGACTCCAGGCGTTTCAAAGATCATGCACATCGCTTTATAGTCAGACGCTTTTTCATAGTAACCGTTAGGCATTCAGCCATTCTCTTTGCGACCAACGAGTTTCAAGAACATGAACCGGCTATTATTTTCAGTTAATGATTACATTTTTTTAATGTTTTTTTGCTAATCAAATTTTTATTTCACATTCAGATAACTCTGATCTGATGAAATCCAGATTTGAACAGTTTTTTTGATAATCTAGCAAAAAAATGAATGAACTTTTTAATATTGAAACTGACCGTAAAATTAATATTTTCACTCCAAAAAAAAGGAAAGTTTTAAGAATAAATATGATTTTCTGAATTTAATGTTTTTTTGTTTTATGAAAAAAATAAAAATCGTAAAAACCCATTATTTGTTAAGTCATTGTTCTTTTCGAACAGTGAAGAATGGGAGTTTGAAGAACCAAGAAACAGTTTATGGAATGAATTTTTACAGGAAGGTCTACAAGGAGAGCGAAGACCTTGCGGCTTTGGACGAGTACGCGAAGGCGTTGCGTCTGGCGGTTCCAATGCAGCAGACGCCGTCGACGCCGTTGGCCGTCCTGCCGGCCGTCTCCGTGGAGCGCGGTCGACGCAAGAGGACCACTTTCTCGCCGGACCAGGCCGCTCGACTCGAGATGGTTCGTTTTTCTTTCCCAGAAGCTTAGTCAAATTTGACTTTTACTACATAAGTATTATACTTTCAAAGTACTTCCTACCTTGTCCTCCTCATTCTATGGGAGTATTACCTTCGTGATTCAAGTTTATCTTCACACAGCTCCCAGGAAAGAAACGAAGAACATAGTTGGTCGAAAGTGTTTTTAAAACTATTTGCAGACGCAATTTATACAGTTTGTTCCAAATACTAGTCACCAAAACTACAAAAAGTTTTAGAAAAATCAAACTCCAAACGAGAAAGTTTCGATCGAAAAACATTTTTTCGTAACTTTTCCTACTAATTTTTGAACATTTTTGAAAGTCGTCCTGCCCACGTAGGCTTTTGCGTGATTGATTGTGATCTTCGCTGCTTAACATTAGGCATATCAGTGAAAAAGTAGAAAAAAAGCCAAGCTTCAACGGAGATTAATCGGATATCCTTCTTTCCGTCATCTGTACACTTCCTCATTAGATTGGGCTGCCAGAGTGATCGGATTAGTGTTCAGGGAACTTTGCCGGCGCCGCATGTTTATGAAGCGCCTAATTTAGTGTTTGCCCCAAGTGATCCTCAAATCAAGATGATGGTTCTGAGATGAGAAAAATTGCAAGATGTAGCTTGGAATGAGACCTTTCTAGTCGGCCTTTTTTCGTTCAATGATTTGCTTCGGTCCTGAGTTTCATTCACAAGAAGCTCTAAATATTTAGTTGGAGTCTAGTTTTTCTTCTATTTCGCCGTCCTAGTGTTTTCCAACATTTCAGAATGATCTTCTACTTGGACATAAGCTTTTCCCTCTTGTTTAGTTCCAATTTTTAGACCTTTCATGTTGAATATTATGAGAAAGATCAACAAAATGATTCAAAAAAAAAAAAAAATTCAAATTTTAGATATTTTTTAATTTTTCACATCCTGTTAACTTCTCAAAATAGTCGAAAAACCACTCTATTGTGAACTTTGACTCGTAAAAAAGGCCCTTTTTTTTCTTCGGACTAGAACTTCAAAGTGTATCCCTAAATAGATCCTCAACCTTCTCAGTTGAAACTTGAAAAAAGAAAACGATCGAAAAGCCATTTCCGAGTGAACATTTCCAGGATGATGTTTTTGATGATGCAAACCTCATTTGGCTGGCTAATTCCGTTTAGTAGAAAAAAAAGGGAAGAAGGAAATGTTTCGAGCAATTTGCACGAGCTCCTCCTCCTCTCAGTTGCTTCCCTTCTCCATGTATATCATCAATATGAGCCTAATTGTGAGACGTCGCTAGATGGTGGGGGAGGACCTCGTTAGGCGGCTCTGAGAGTGCCCAAGAAATGAGCTGGGAAGAGAAAAAAGATAAAGTTCAAGGACCTTCATGAATCAGCTTCTCTTGTTTTTGAGAGATTCAAGGAAAAAAAAAATCCTTACTCAGCTTGAGAAAAATTCAATTTTTGTAGTTTTGTAAGAATTTAGACATTGCCATAAAATTTTAACCTTACTCCCCATTTTTTTAAAACTTTTCCTGTACTTGATCGTTTGTAGAATAAACATCCACAGTCATTTTGTCATTTTGAAGTGATATCCTTAAGCTCCCGCGCGTAAGCCGTTTTTGGTCTGTTGCGTTTCAAAGCAACCAAGAATTGAGCCATTTCACGTGCGACCATGTTCTTCCAAGATTAAAAAAAGATCGTTATGTAGAATACGTGAATATCTCCTTTTGGGACGTACTAATCTAATAATTCACATGAGAAACAGATACTCAAAAATATTATTCCTTCTCTTCTTTTGTTTTGCGGAGAGATTTCAAATCGCATTTGAAGAATTTTTCGTCTTTTTCCCCACACTTTCTACCTTTTTTCACACGATCTCAACAACTTTCCCTTTTGAAATGAAAATTAAAAATAGTGACTGAGCGGAAATTAATTACATCGACGGGGCAATTCCTCGCCACTGAAATGAATTTAACCCTGAACAGAAAGAGATGGAGAGAAAAGGTACAATGAAATAAAAGCGGCAAATTAGGTTTCTTTTTTTTTGGAGTGGAAAGAAACTAGAGATAGTGGTTCGAAAGTACTTTGCTCAGTGGATTAATTTGTAAAAGTTCTTGAAGCAAATCTTTTTTTTTTGCGTGTTTGATTTTTAACCGAATATGGTTTCGACTTTTCATTCATCGCTTAAAACAAACATCAGTCCAATTCTTATAGTAATAACTTCATACGGAGAAGAAAAAACTTTGCGATAAAATCTGACCGAAAACTAATTTCGTTTCCCCCCTTTGCGCACAAAATTGTTTCTGAAAAGGGAGAAAAAAAAGCGATTGGGACGCACTAAATTGGATTGGATTGAACGCTGAAAATGGGAAAAAGAAGAGGTTTTGAAAAGAAATGACGTTTGTGCAATTCGAAAAGAGGAAGGGATTTTGAACTCGCCGTTCTGTAGTCTTTCACGACTTCTATGGCTTTTTTTTTCTGCAGAATTTCAAAGATCAGTCTCTTTGTTTCTATGGAGCGCATATTCAACAAACATTTGCTTCTTTTTTTAAGCAGAAAATATTTTCTGAAAGCGGAAGATTTATTAGGGGCATTAATCTTTGAATTTTGAAGTTCATTTTTTTTCAGGAATACCTGGCGGACTGCTACATGGCAAGGGACAAGCGGATGTCGTTGGCCGTGGCGTTGAACTTGACCGAGAACCAGGTCAAGACCTGGTTCCAGAACCGAAGAGCCAAGGACAAGCGCGACAAACGCACTGACGGGTTCGTTTTGAGCTTTTGGTCCAGAAAAGTACTCTCTTTAGGGTTTTCGAATGAGGAAACTCGTTCTCAAACTGATCATTCTCTGCTTTTTTAGAGCTCCTCAATGTAAACTTAAACTCTAAATATGGAAGGCTTCCCTTGAAGTTAGAATAGGAAAAGGATCAAAATTCATGCTCTAGTTTGACAATATTTTCTGACTGATGTTTGAATCACAAAAGATTTTCCAAAGAACTTGAAATAAGGACCTTCTTTCAGACTTTGCACGCCATCTTCATGCTCGCGGAAGTCGTCGATCTCGCCGACGATGCCGATGCCACATACGTCGGTCCTGACGCCGCCGTTCTGCACGCCGCCCAAGCCAGGCCTCGACGCCCTCGTCTCCCCCGCCGGCACCTCCAGTCTCCTTCTGACGACACCTCTGATGACGTCGCCGCCTCTGGCATCGACGTCTTGCGCCACGACTCCCAACGACCCGAAGACGCCTCTGGACCTGCCACCGACGCCGCCCCTTAAGAACGCCGGCGCCCTGCTCCACGACTACGTTCAGTACCTGGCCACTTTCGGACTCAACATCAACTCGCCGCTCCTCATGAGCCCGTCGCTGCAGTTGACGTCTCCACAACAGAACAATCAGCTGTTGGCCTCGCCGCTGCTCCCTCAGTTGCCGACGGCAAACTTTATTTAAACTTTTTCTTGTGTTGGGTCGCACTCGGAATGACTCGACGCTGAACGGTTGCGAAGCAGTTGTAAATTCAATCCAACCGCAACGCGACCGCGACGCTTAGAAACATCCTATGTGAACCTACGGCATCTTAGTCAGGGCAGTATAATCTTTTAGTTCGGTACTTTTTGTTGAGAATTCAAGAAAAATCCGCCTCTTGAGAAGGTTTTGACTAGTCTTCCACATCTTCTAGTGTTTGGGCTCCGGGTTATCTCTCCACTTCCCTGTATTTTCCAATGGAGCAACTTTCCCATTCCTCCCATCCTATTCATTCTCAAACTTTGTTTTTGTAAACGCGTCGACTTTGCAAATATTGGCCACCCCTGCCATTCCTTGACCACCTCAATATCTATTTTCTCCCTCATTTTGTATAAATTGTTGACTTTTCCCCCTTAACTTGAGGATCTCTTTAACTTTGTGCATTTTTCCCCGCATCCTTTTTTACTTCAAGTTCTAAGTTATTTGTTGACCTCTTGCCATATTTATTGGATTTTGGAGTACCTTTTTTTCGGTGCCCCTTCCCTTTATTTGGATTACTGTAAATTATTTGAACTATTATCCGCTTTTTTTTCACTATTTCCTCTCCTATTTGCTATTGTCGATTCGTGTAGTGTGTGATATCAATTTTTCATTGTTATCCTCTTTCTCTCCCTTTTTTAAAATTTATAAAAAATAAAATCTTCCAAAAAAAGTTGTAACGAATATGTACAGAGAAAAATACAACAACAATTATATGTATACATGATCGGACTGCGCTAAATTATATTTACACAAAAATGAAAGTGGTTATGGCAAGGAAGAACGGACCGGTAAATGAAGAATCTCTTACTAGTTAGAACAGCATCGCGAGGTTTACATTTTATTCGTAACTTCGGATTTTTCAAAATTTTGGCTTCGTATTTTCTTGTGTAAGACTTTGAGGCGTAACTTTTTGAAAAAAGAAAAGAGGAAGGTTCCATTTCTAAGGACCTTCATCCAAGTGATTAGAACAAATTTTGGGAGTTTCCAAAGTTTCGAGTAAACTGTTACCTTTCTCTGGAAAACCTTTGCTTAAAAACCCCTTCAGCTTTTGTCACATGTCCTTGGCGCCAAACAACTGCCGCATCTGGCGATCGAAGACCTTGGAGATGTTGATCCGCATGCTGTTCAGCGAGGAGCAGAGGCTCTCGAAGGTGGTCCGGTAACGTCGTCGGTGTTGATCCAGGTCGATCGTGATGTTCTGCGTGGTGCCGTCGAACAGCGTGAGAGGCAGTCGGACTATCGTTGTGTAAGGCGCCGATATGTCGTACTCCTAAAGACAAGTTTCAGTTCGGAACTTTTCTTGGCTTCACCTCTCCGTGAATTCCACACGAGTGCTGGACGATGAGAGCCGGTTCGATAGAGCCGTCGGGGTCCGAAGCCCAGCCGGAGAGTTTGAAGCGGCCAATGGCGTCGGCCACCGTGTTGTCGATGACCTCGTCGATGAACACTAGAAGGAGTCTTCCGATGAGATGAGAAGGTCGGTACGAACCGTCATTGTCGATAAGAAGGATCCAGGAGGCCCAGGCAGGTTTCGAAAAACACATCAACTTGCCCGTCATGTTCAGACGTTGGACTAAGTCCGCTGCGGCGCCGATGAAGGCCGTGGCGAAGAAAATGGCTCGGATCATTCTGAAGATGACATTTTTTCGAAGGAGAGGTGAAGACGTAAGGCCAACTACTTGAGTAAGAAGCTTAAGGAAATATTAATAGTACAAGTAAGTTATCTTTATTATGAAAATTTCGAATAGGACCTTATATCTCGCCCAGTTCCTTGAGAACCATGCTCTATGACAAAAAATGACATAATTGCCGTACAATCAAAAAACTGTCCCATGATCCTCCGCACTTTTTGAATCATGCCTTTCGATTTGCAAACAAAAGCGAGGGTTCAGGTGTAAGTAAACAGATAGTGGGAGTCGGAATCAGAGAATGATTCATGTATAGTAGTAGTACTGAAAAAAGATAAGAATAACTGTAGAACTTAGGATTTTTAGTATCTGCACAAATGTCTTTTATTTTGATTTATTTTTTGGACTAATCAGTGTTTTATTTTTGAAAACAACAATTTTTTTACAGTAAATTTTTTGCCGACTTGAGAGGTAGATTGGCACGCGGGAAGCGTTGCGTACGCGTCGCGGTTTTTTTTTTGACAACTATTTTAGGCAGGACAAGGAAAAAGCTTAGGTTTATACTTTTATTCATTTAACTAGATCTTTTCAAAACCTTAAGAAAAGTGAAAACTTGTGAAAAAGCATCAAAAAGGGAAAAAAAAGTAGCTCGCGTTTAACTTCGAGTTTCCCGCCGAAAGCCGCGTCGCACACGCAACGCTCCACCCTTACCAATCTACTCATCTCGCCTTTATTTTCAAGTCGAGAAGGATTGGCTATAGTCAAAGAAGCAAAATTTAAATGAAATTTATTTTTCTTTAAAATTTTTAGATTCAGTTCGAAGAATAAAACGAAAAAGTAAAAATTATTGGTCAGACTGTACGATTAGCCTTGGAACACAAAAATGACCACTACTGATAGCGTAAAATTTTTTTGTAGCAAATGAGCAGCTCCGGTCCGCCCTAATCTTACTGATAACAGCTGAAACGTTTGTTTGCTAATATACATCCCACAAATACTTTCTTCCGGTCTTGTGAACAGTGTTTGCACCAAAGTTGGAGCATAGAACGCTTGAATTTATTTTTTGCGCGTGCAACTAATTGTTATTGAAATCGAGAGTATGACCTGCTATCATTCAAAGTTTTCAACAAGGTTGCAAGACGGGAGAAAGTTGTACAAAAATAACTTTGTTTTTTTAGTTGAATATTTGGTTCGTAATGTTCATTATGGAACTGTTGCGCGGTGTTCGCCTAACGTTGGAGTGATAATGAAATGGAAACAAAATGATTTGAAATGTTTATTTCGGGGTACTGTATACATTGGTGTTTTTTTCTGGTGTTTTTCTTTAAGTTTCTCGGAAAGAAATTTAATTTTGTCAAAAAAATTAATTGAGAACTTCCACTGCTTTAGAACTTTTTAGAATGAAAAATAGAAAAAAATGGAAAAACGCAGAAATGGAACCACGCGCAATGTGCAAACACAACATGCACACGCCAAATGGGGACTTTCACATACAGTAATCTTCGTGAAAGGGAGACTCGCTCAACATTTTGATAAAAAATTATGATAATAGAACATCGAAAAATATTATCCAAAAAAGCGGAGTTTTACGAGATGTAACTATTGAAATTCCAGATTTCGCCTTTACATCGCTGAGAAAGACGACGTCATCTCTGCACAGCACACAATAAACTTTTATGTTGAGCTCTTTTTTACATGTAGAATTTTTGAAAAAAGGGATCGCCTTAAAAAACTCTTGTACCTTTATAAGATTTGAATTTTCCTCAGAAGTTACAGATTCTCCTCAGCCCATTTCTCATTTTTTGACATGTTACCACCAATTGAAATATACGAAACTGTTTTGTCAAAAACTTTATCGATCAATTGTCATTCCAGCGTAGTTGAGAGTGAAGTGGGGTATTCAGCTGATCCAAATTGCTGCAAAACTCTCAGAGTCCAATATCATTGGAAAGCTGATTACGAGACGACTCGATCAATATAATGAGTTCAACTGTAACTTCAGAAGGGAAAGAGTTAAGAGATAAGACGGATTCTGATCTTTTGATTGTGACTCAAACAGTCAGCTATTTGCATCATTCGAAAGCTGACGTTTGGACAAATCGAGTGATATGCTTGAATAAGCTGTAGCTGCTCTGGAAGCCGAGATATAAACTGCTCAAAGATCTCATAAAAAAAATAAAATTGCGCGTCTGATAAAACGCGTTGACCGAGGTTGAGCGTCGGGTCAAATGCTCGTCTGAGGCTCTCATCGGTGTGGTTTCCTCGCGAAAAGGGAGAAGCTCAAAAAAAAGTTGGTTTTTTTCAACTTTTTTTCAGTGGAATCGATAGAGCAGCTTCTATATGGTACTGTTATCATATCCGTTTGGAGGGAAAAGCTCAAGAGTTGGGTAAAAAACGGGTCCGAAAAACACGCATTTTTTGGGCTTTCAGGCGTCATAACTTCGTTCATTTTGAAGTTACAGAAAATCTAATTATATCAATCGATTTGTCTCGTTATCCGCTTTCTAATGGTGTAGGACTTCAAGATCTCCCATCAACCTGTGTGACGTCATGGAATTTCCCAGCTTACATCTCAGCTTTTTCCGCAAACCGGATGATATGACATTCAATCGATAGAGCGTCTTGAGACGAATTTGATGAGATATCTTGTTCACTGATAAATTATCACAACTGTGAGTTTTAAGCTCTGGCGAGTCTGAAGCTTCCGGATGAAGCTGAATCTGGTGATGTCTAATGTCGTTAAAAAGCTGACGTTGAGACGAGTCGACTGATATAATCAGTTAAGCTGTAACTTTAAAATGAACGAAGTTATGACGCCTGAAAGCCCAAAAAGTACGTGTTTTTCGGACCCGTTTTTTACCCAACTTTTGAGCTTTTCCCTCCAACGGATATGATAACAGTACCATATAGAAGCTGCTCAATCGATTCCACTAAAAAAAAGTTGAAAAAAACCAACTTTTTTTTGAGCTTTTCCCTTTTAGCGATGAAACCACACCGATGAGAGCCTCAGACGAGCATTTGACCCGACGCTCAACCTCGGTCAACGCGTTTTATCAGACGCGCAATTTTAATTTTTAGGAGAACTTTGGAGGCTTATATATCGACTCCCAGAGCAGATACAGCTTATCTAAGCATATCATTCGATTCGTCTCAACGTCAGCTTTCGAATAATGTAAGCTATTAACAGATTTGGCTCAATTCAGAAGTTTCAGACATGCCACAGCCTAACGCGATAATTTAGATATCAGGTGAAGCTTTCTGACGCTCTTCGATTGATCATCTTTCCAACTAGTTCGAGGGAGAAGCTGAGTTTTTTGTTTTCTAAAAAGTCATTCAAGTTGATTTGAAAAATTCAAATCCTCATCGAAAAAGAAGCTAAAATTTGAAAAGCCTGGATAATTACTTTCTTCATTTTTAATCGAACAGAGCTTCTAATTACGGCCATTTATTTTCCTACTTCCAATTTTACCTTTTTTTTATTTGACGCACATTTTCCCGAAAATTTTTATATGGTTGAAAGAATTCTGAAAAAAAGTTTTTGTCCTATTCACTTTTTTTCTTCGAGTCTGTGTAAGAAAAAGTGTTTGAATGATTCAAAAAATTCTTTTGATAAAGAAACATAACAGTGAGAAGATGTTCATCTGACGAAAAGAAAATCAAAAAGCCCCGAAAAAAATGTTTTTTTTCATATTCATCTCCAACCTGGGATTTTTATTGTAACAAAAAAATCAAAACAAAACAAAAAGCGACGTACAAAAAAAATTTATTTATTATGAAACATTCATAATTTCCAAGATTTTGTTTTCGAAACGTTCAGATTTGTCTTCTTGCGCTGGAAATGAAGAAATTGCCTGAAAATTCGAAACCATATCGCCATTCAACTATTTGAAAACATACCCTTTTTCTATTTTATGAGAGGGAGAGAGAGAGAACAGGCGATTTCAAAGAGGCTCCAAAAGCTACTTCAAAATTCCAGCTCTCCAAGTTCAGATCCGTCTTCTTGTGCTGGAGTTGACGAATATTTTTGAAGATTCAAAGTCATAACAGATTAAAAAATTACGGAACTAATATTTTCTTCATTTGATGTCGAAAGAAGGACATAATCAGATAAAAATCGACGATTTCCAAACCGTACTTCATCTATCCGTGATGTCATTAAAAGGACAGAACTAGGCAATACAGTGTCATTCAGAAAAAGAAAGATAAAAAGGAAGATTTTTAATCTTTTAACAAAATGTTTTTTTCCAGCTTTCAAATCGAGATATTCCATGCCCAGTTCTTCTGATAACCTTCTAATAATACGAATAAACTGTGAAAAAAAAACTTGATTTTTTCCATCTCCAAGGCAGTTATATTTTCCTTGTCATATCAGCATCCAAAGTTTGCTTGATAGATCATTGAACTTCAAACAAGGCTTGGCATTTGCTACCAAATAGGGTCACGTGAAGCCTCTGCAGCGGCTAGATGACAAAAAACAGCGACAGAAATAGGCGGGCGGCTGTATCGGATCGACTCTGGGGGACTGTTTGAGCAGCTGTTTTGGCAAGACTTTCTTTTTTTCGCTCGTTTCGGAAAGTATCCAAAGAGTCGTCACTCCGAGCGCCATGAAGCCGTCGCTCGTCGTCGTCGTGTGTCTGATAGCCGTCTGTTTCGGCGTCGTCGGTACGTTTTCCGAGTTGCAACCTGTTCTAGAAGTATTGCTGGTTTCTTCAGAGCATGAAACAATTTCTGTGAAGCATCACGACAAAAAGTCGCTTCCTGGTGTATTTTTAAACAACAGAAAACTTCTAAAAAAGCAAGAGCTTTTGAACAGACTATCTGAAACTATTTTCACTTCTCGTATCCGAAATATAGATAAAAACCAGAGGTCATTTTTTTTAAACCGTGGCTCATCACAAAGCGTGGTCATTTTTATCATTAAGGGACCGATAAAAAGTATGTTTTTAGGCGTCGAGGCGTCGCCCTCCCGTGGCGATAGCGGCCTCTTCGACAGCCTGAACCAGGTTCGTTAGTCAATATCAATGGCTACAACAAGTTTGTTCAAAAAAGTATCATTCCGAAAGATAGTACATGATAAGCTAAAAGACTGCAGAAGGAGGGTCGAAAAAGCTGAAAGAATTGGTCTTTGCAACCTACAGTGGCTCCTCCAACTCTTGTAGTTGAAACTAAGAAAATAATAACCAAAAAGCTTTAATATCATGGAAGCATGGATACATTAGTTATATTTAACCCTTTTTTTCAAAAAAAGCTTTAATATTTTTTTGAAGTAAGCATTTATTTTCCATTTATTTAATCTTTTCAAACTTTTTCTTCTAAAAAAATAGTAAAAAGGATATACCTCTTTTTCAACTATGCATTTTAAGTCTTGGCTTTTTGTTTAAAAAAAGTTTCATTCGATTTGGACGAAGGAGAAAAAAAGTAACATTTTTTTGGTATTTTCCTACCGTAACCCTAAGGGGCGGAGCCACTCAAAAAACTACGTAAAATTTTCAGGACCATGTGTAGTTATTGTTACCACAATATGAGCTCAGAAAAATTAATCTGAAATTTCCGGTATTACCGGTTTATCGCGTTTCTGTGAAGAACGTGTGTTAAACAGCTAACTGATTTCTTTAAACCCCTGAAAACAAAGAGCCACTTGTTCTTCTGTCACTTTATCTCAATAAACGTGGAGAAGTCGAAAGTTCGAGTTCAAACTTTAGAAAATGAAAAAAGAAACCCATCCATTTGGCTACGTCTCAAAATGCAAAAACAGTCAGCCATTGAGGGCCGAGCAGACTTGATCAATCTCAAAAAACTGACCGCTTCCAGGTGTTCAACCGGTTCAAACGCGCCATTCTGCCAGAGCTGAGCGACATACGGAAGAAGCGCAACCTTCCGACAACCTACGACATTCGGAAATAGTCGCGAAATGTCGACGAATTGACAACCAGCATACAAAAAACTTTTTTTTCTAACAAAAGGTCCACTCCACGTTCCACGTTAATAAACAGTTCAGCCCGAGTTTTGGAAAGTCTAAAAGAGAACAGTTTATACGACGGAAACGGGATACTGAGCAAAAAAGGAGAAATAGGACCGATGAATGGTTAGCACACGCGAAAAAGGTACAAGAAGATGAGGACCGGAATTACATATTATGTTATCGAAACGATCACAGAGACGTAAAAACAAAACAAAAAAATCATAGTTTCACTATCCGCTATTGCTATCGCTTATCACAGAGAAACCCTATAACTCTTTAAAATTCCTGAAATGATATGTGCATGATTGAAGAAAAAATAACACCATAAGAAGGCCGGGATAGTACTTTAGAAGACACGTGTTCAAGGCGTGGGATTGGAAAGGAAGAAACAGAAAATGGCGAAGGCAAGATTCTCACTGAGAAAAGGGAAACAAAGGAAAATAGTCTGCTCAAAAACCTCAGAAGGTACCGAAATTAGGATAAAGTCTTTGAAAAATCCAATGAATAGTCTTGAACAGACTATAGCCCTTTGAAATGAATTTTCCAATAACCAGAATGATTAAATAAACCCTGGGATTTTCACAATACAAAAAAATGAAACTGAAAATGGAAAAATAAATTAAAAATCAACACGACAAAGAATTAAAGTTCGATTAAGCTGCACATCGATAAATAACAGAGATTAAAATTTGATTTTGGATTTTTAAATTAAAAATATTAAATAGAACAGAGAACCAATTTTATCCGAAAAACTTTTTGATTATTTCTCTTTTTTTGAATCTTGAGAAATCTTTTTATTTTTATTTTTTTCATGAGCTCAATCCTTTTTGAACTGAAGAAGCTCCAAATAGTCAAAAAAATTTCATTTTAAAGCTTCTTATGAACCTGATATACTCAAATTTCAATCTTAATTTTCAAAAGTCGAGAAAAAATGAATAGAAGCCTGAAATCGTGTTTTAAAAATATAAAATACCCTCATAAACTTTTTTTTTTGGGAGACTTCGCTCAAGTCCCAAAGCCTACTATCAACTACAAAACCAAAATTCTCAAAAAAAAGAGGAGAAATTTCTCATGGAAGTTTCATGACCGTGTGACGGAAAAAATCAACGTAAATGTTCGATTTTCATCTTCTACAAAACTCGCCTACTGTCTTAGCTTTCAAGGGCCTCGAATATTCATGCACACGACTTTTTTTGATTTGCACTCAAGTATGACAACATCATCCACCCGTTAGAAGTTCAATCGGATCACATCAGAAGGCAGCCTTCCTCGTTGGGCTCCACCGAGGAGACGACATGATCGTAGCGTCGTCCGCCGCCGGCAGAAATACGGTCGACGCTGCGACTGCGATGTCGCGATTTGGCCGCGTTGCCGTTGGCTTTGTCGGCGAAAGCGGCTCCCAGCTGCAGGTTCGACTTGGCATGGCTGACGTCGGCTCGCGAAGTCCGTGGCGTCGTTGACTGAGTCGCGTTGGCTGAAACTTCGATTCAACTTGGATTATATGAAAAAAGACAGTTTTTATGATTTTCTTTGGATTCCAAAAATAAAACTTTGTTGAAAAAAGGGTATCATATGATCTTTTGTAGCTTTATTGCCTGTACAATTGATGGTTGCTCGAAAATTCTCTTCTAGGGATCCGTTCACCTCCCTCTATAGAGGTCACTAAAGCTTGCAAGAGGTCCCTATAGGGGAAATGCTAGTCGATTATTGATATGAACTATATTCCATGCAGAAAAACCAAATAAATTAGCTATTTTGAAATCAAAAAAACATCAACAAAATATGGAATTTTCCAAGTTTCTCTTTTAATTTTCAAATTTGAACAAAAAGTTATAAGAGCCCTATAGGGGCTGTCTTTTCCCCTAACCGCTATAGAGACTACTATGGCGTTCCTAAGAGAGATAAAAGCGCAGAATTATTGAGGAAGCTTCAACAAAAATCAAACAAGAAAGTCATTTTTCGAAATTCAAAACAAACCATCTGTCGCGATCTTCTTCTTGGGCGGAAGTCGCAGGTTGGCGATTCCAGATTGTTCAGCGACGACGTCCAAATGAGCGCCAAAAGTTTGCAATAAAGAGACGTAGCCAATGCTGAGAAATGCAAAACGATTTTGAACTGGCTTTCAAATTCTTTATCACCAGTTGACTAAAGCCCATCGCATCAGTTCGTGACAGCCATTCCGGACGCGGGTGAATGGGATCCGGCCGCAAGCTTCGATTGTCGACGCGTTGATCTCTTTCCGGAGCCGAGAATCATCGCGACGTAGGACACATAGCTGGAAAGACAGGGCCACAGATCCAAGAAAATAATCAGGAAAAGCTTCTTTTATATCTTGAATTTTGCTTGCTCATTTTCCATCTTGTTGTTTTTAAACGTTCATAAATCATTTTATATATTAATTTAATGTCTTTCCTCTGGCCATCAAAAAAAAATTACTTTTTTTCTATTCTTCATTGCCAATAGTTCCATAAAACTCATCATTATTTCAAGCTTAGAAAACCTGGACAAATTTTCATTCTGAGGGTGATAAAACCTTTTCTTTGTTAACAATGGCATAATTGAAAATTGATATCTCAAAGACTTCTCACAGATGTTCCTATGTTGAAAAATTGCCATATTTCACTTCAAAAATGAGGGAATCATTTACCTTCATTAACTTTCTAGTAAAAAGGTCCTGGATTTCTATGATTTCCACGAGAATTTCCGCATTCTTTTTCCTATAACTAACAAACCAAGAACATCCAATCGACAGTTGAGCTTTCAGCGAAAAGATCAAGCATGTAGTCGAGCTGTGCCTGACTGGCGGCGTCTCCTCTTCTCGACGATTCACCAACCAAAACTTCGGTCGCTGAATTTTTTTAAATTGCAAACTTAATTATTCGTTCAATTTTGTCTAAAATCGATTCTAGACTTCCTTTTTCCCCCTTATTATGAGTGTTGCTTCTTGAAAAAGTTGTGAAAAATCTAACAAGACAGGCTTATTCTTTTTGAGGTCTGGAAAGATCCCGTAACTCAACCATCATAATCAATAACTCTTGAAATGCTGAAAATTCAGATTTAAGACTTGGATTAGTGAAAAAAAAAAATACTAAAAAAACCTTATTTTACTTCGTAACTTTTGTAGCCTTTCAGCTTCATTTTCTCAATCTTTTTTTTCCAGTTTTCAAAATCACCTTGCCAATCCCCAGCCAGACTCCTCGAATCAGACGGCGTATTGGTCAAACTCTGCTGGCCAGTGCTGGCTCCCGGAGTTGTTGGCCTCGAGGAAATGGTCGGCAAATCCGAACTTTGCCGTTGCGAGGTGCTCGGACCATTGACCACTCTTTCCAACTTCACTTCTTGTATCTGAACACGACTTTTTGTGGAAAATTGTTCTCATGTACAAGTTTTGTGTTCAAACATCTCTGCTTTCATCCTTTCCTCAAGCTTTAAAAAGTCAAATTTTCCGAATTCTCTTGGAACTGGTTGAGATTTTCACCAATACACCCATTTCCATATATAAATGAAGAAGAACCTCTGTGCCGCTGCTGCTCTCGGCATCATCACTCGATGGGGTGGGCTTGATCGATTTGGCTTCAACTGAAGGAACATGTTCCGTTGCTTCGGTTGGAGGAGCGACTTTTGTTAGCTCGCTAGCCGCCAGACCTTAAAAAATGGAGATTTGAGGCAAGTGACCGGTTTTGATTGTTTTGCCCAAAATAAAACACGGCTCAGATTTTTAGCGAGCATTCAAACGTTTGGTAAAATTATCTGGTTTAGCATGTTGAGGCTGAGTTTTCTTTGAATTTATTTTTAAGGTTCAAGCCGAAAATATCTGAAAAGAAGCTTAAAAATGCCTTTGAAAGACCTTCCTAGCTTCTTTTCGAGATTTTTTATTAGCCGGGTTCTTTTTAAAAAAAATATATAATGTTTTTCATAATAAGTTCCAGGGAAGGAGGTATAAAAGCCGATAAAAAGTCCTTTTTTCAATAAAGTGAAAAAAAAAAATGCTTGAAGGAACCATTTTGCACCTTTTTAAGGACTTAAACAGAGGGTTCCTCTCAGGCTTGCCAGGGCTCTCAACGGGTGTACCCGTATATAAAAACCCATGTTTTTGAGGCTTTTCGAGTCAGTTGTGCTGAAACGGAGACGCTAAAGGGGCGAAAAGAAGACCCTCATCTACCCTCATAAGCATAAGAGTTTCTTCTTCTTTTAAGCTCCAAGGCCGCTTTGTCCAAAGTTTCTAATCACAATACTCCCAGACACTGACCATTAAGACTGGCGGTGCTGTGGCTGATCTTCAGAGAGCCGAGCTTCTTCTCGAGCTGATGAACGAAGCGACTGCCGGCCACGGGGTAGGGCCAAGCGAACTGGGAGTGGAGGCGAGTGAGAGCCAGAGAGAAGTCCTCGACGAAACAGCAGTTCTTGTCGTTCTCCGTGAGGGTGGTCGTGTTGCCGGAGAGCGCCTGTCGTCGTTTGCCGAGAAGTCGCGTCAGGTCGACGCCGAGTTCCGCCCAGAAGTAACCTCAAATTCAACATTGTCATTTTGAAAATGGTTCTTTGAAAGTGGCATTTTAAAAGTATCGAATGTAAATTTTTTTCTCAAAAATTTTTTTAGGAAAAATTTCTATTGATTTTTTTCTGATGACTGAATGAATGAATCCTAGAATATTTTACTCGTAAAAATTTCAATTTTTAAAGGTCTTTGTCTTCTCAAAAATAATACTTCCAAATCAGTTCAAAATGCTCCTACGGAGCTCTAAACCCTACCATCCGTCTCAGAATTTCACGACGAAGCGATTGTTTTAAAATTTAGCTCAATTCTTCAAGTTTGATGTGATAATCCAAAACTTTTGGCAAAATTTTGGAAATTTCTCAGCTTCAACGTGGGGTCTCGTCAATTTAAATGATATCTCGTTCATTTTGTTGATTTTACTTTCCTGATTTTTGCTTTCCGGTAAACGAACTTGTAGATTTTTGAATCGAGTTTTTCTCGAAAAACACGAAGTAAAAAAAAAAAAACTACAAAATGATCTTAAAATCTCAAAACTCAAACTTTACTTGCTATAAGTCTTAAGGAAGATTAATTTAGGCCTTTGAATCTTCTTTTTTTACGATAAATCTGTAAAGATAAATTTTCACCTAGATCCCGTATGCAATACTCGTTGAGTAGGTGCCAGGCGTGTTCCTCAAGGATTTCCTCCATTCGTTTGGCCATCGGATTCGCCGGTGCCACCGGGGATGGCATTTCCGAGGACTGACCCTAAAATCTTTCTCAATAAGAAAGTCTTCAGATCTGAAAAACCCTGGAGACTCTGGTTTTCGAGGAAACATTGGCCGATCCGGCGGAATCCTTGCGAACCTGCGTCTCTTTCTCGCTGATCGAGTGCGAATGTCTCACTTTATTTAGCTTCATCGCGCCTTTAGAAAGTCAAAAATTGGAATTTTTGAGAATGAAATGAAACCAGCTTGAAATCTGTTGAAAACGTAATCATTCGCTCCTTCGTTGATCGGAGTGGGTGAGGAAACGGTTGGACGGCGGGACAAGGTGGTTTTTGCGTTTGGAGGCGGGGTTCTGGAGATCAAGGTCAACATTAGAACATTCATGAATAAGATGATATTTCACTCGGGACTTCATACTTTCTCCGTGCTACTAAAAAAAATTGCTTTCGATTTTTTCCATCCAAGAAAATTCCAAAATTTTCAATATTGAAATTTAAAAAAACTTCGATCGATAGTTTAATGAATTATAACTGTAGAAGATTCTATTTCCCTCAAATACTATGAAAAAAGGCCAAAATCAGCTCAAAAATTAACACTAGAAAGGTTCAAAACTCATTAGAAAAAATAGATTTTTCACGACTTTCACGACTTTCCGACAAACGAAAATGAAGTGATACCTAGAGGGACTGTCGATATCTCCAGAATCGATGGCTCTTGTGAATCGCATCATGTCGCGAGCTATGGACCATTCGCCAGCCGTCAGAGCTTCTCGTAGTAACCGGGCCGCTTGCTTCAAAATTGGAAACATTATTTTTTTCTTTTTTCATGAAGAAGTCAATTTATAACTCAAAAAAATATTTATTTCTTCTTTAAAAAAATCACTGAAAGTCTTGATAAGGAAATCTTTAGGAAATTTTAAAAAAATTGAAAAAGGTTTGGTTTCATCAGCGATTTCATAGGAAAAATTTTAAAAAAATCACTCGAAAATTGCCTCCCCAGAAATTCTTTGAAAAATAAAAAAATTCTACCAATTTTTGAAAGGGATTCTCTGTTCAGAAAAAAATTTTTGAAAATTCAACGAAAAATCAAGCAATTTCTGAACTTCATATTTGGTTTTTCAATGGAGATAAACAATGAGAAAAATATTTACAAACCGAAATTTTGTTCAAATGACGGAAAAACAGCAATAATCAATATTTTCAGCGTTTTCCAATCACCCTCCAAATACCTCCATGCTAGTTTGGCTGTTCTCAATGTTCTGCAAGACGATGAGGTAGCTGGCCGCCGTGTCAAGTTGGCCATCACGGAGACAAACCTACACACATGCTTTTAAGGCTAGTTCCTTTGAAATGAAACCTCAAAAAGGTCGTTCGGGGAGCCGGTGACGGCAAAAAGAGCCGACCAAAGAGCGAGTTCCGTTTTCCTGGCACAATGGGCGACGGTTCGAAGGAATTCCGGGAATTCTTGGATGAACGCTACGCATCGCGGTAGTAAAGGGTCTATAAGAATTTTGTTGATTTCATTTTTTTTAGAGTCTAAGAATTTCTCTCTTAATTCATAGAATCTACATACATTAATTTTTCTGACTTTTTAATCCGAAAAAATTCCAGAAGCCCTGAAAAGAGTTTCTTAGGACCTTATTCTTGAATAAAAAAATACGTCGATTAGAAGGCAGTGAAGTTTCGTTTTTTCTCCTTCAACCTAAAAAAACTCTCCTTAAACTAAAAAGTTCAAAAAAAGTGCGCCGAGGGGGAAGGAAAGGTTCACTGGGGAGCTTAAACTTTCAAAACTCAATAAAATATCCCAAAAAAATACTTTGAAAAACCACAACAGAACTTTTAATCTAAGCTTCCATAAAACTTTATCATTACTTGAAATCATAGAAGCCTAATAAATTACCTGGAATTGGTTCGCTACTCGTCGCTTCCTCCTCCAAAACGCCATGAAGCAAAAGTTCCAGGGCATGTGAGAAGTGGGGCAAAGTTCGACAAGAGGCAGCGACTTCCAGAGCAAAAACCCCGAGATTCCGCTTCAAAAGCTGTCGGAGCAAGTGATGAACAAAGACCTTGAGATGAAAAATGAAAAACTGTCAGGAGTCAGGACTGAAGACCTCGCTGTTTCTGTTGAGGACGTACATGGAAATGTTCGATCTCAGAAATTGCTGAGGGGAGCTTTCAACGCCGACCGCCAAGCAGTCACTTGCACAGATGACTGAAAAAATCTCGTTAAATGGTACATTTTCATTGGAAACCGATTGGATAGATATCGAGCTCGAACGGGAGCATGATCCGCTTCGCAATGAAGGTCATCTCCTGAGGTCCCGCACTTCTTCGGCCGGGTAACAGTGGTAGCCACACCTTTAAACGGATCATTTTTTTCATGCTTCCAGTAGGAAAATTCTGGGTCTGACCTTGATGCCCTTGGCGCCGCAAGCGATCCACAAGGCGTTGCTCAGGTGCGGCGACACGGTCGCTTCATTGGAGGCAGAAGGCGTCGCGCCGTTCGACGTCTTCGCCGGCGATGGAGATGCCGAAAACGAAGGCGTTGAAGAAACCGCGCGGTCGTGCCACATCTGCTCGACGAACGAGGCCACCACCATCGGCTGGTTCAACTGAAATACCAAGGGACGGATAAAAACTTCTAACTTCGTATGTATTTTTCACGATTTCTTTCGACCTTAAACTTCTTGCCAAAAGGAGAAAAATATTTCAAATAAAATGGAAAATGTACTTTTCTCTTTAAAACCACCGGAACTCCTTGTTTCTCGAAACTTTTCCGCTACCTACAGGCAAAGAGAAACATAAAAAAATAATTACAAAACTAACCAAACTCATTTTCATTTCACAACCTCAAAATTAATTCCGATACTTCACCATTCTACTCCGATTTTTGTGCTATTCTTACGGATAGCACAAAATAACTGAAAATTCAGCCTTCCCCAACTCTTACCATAAAATTTCCATTCTCATCGTCCGGATTCGCGTTCAAAGTGATCAATCTGCCAGAAACATTGACGAGAACCGTGTCCACAGAAGGAGCGAAGGTCGCTTTCGCTAGAAGATTATCTTGATTTCTAGCAGATTGGTCAAAGATGGAATCTTGAAAAGTTAGAAAGCACTGGTAAACAAGAAGGCGTTCAGAGAAAGAAAAAACTTCTCCTCTCATTTTCGAACACTCTCTACTTTTTTTTTTGATTCGTGCCACGAAGATTCGAAAGAAAAACCTTGTCTGGCGTCCAAGTTGAGCTGTGTGAGCTGTAGGGAGACCACACAGGCGGGATGGGCTATGAGGTCTCTCATGCGGATTTCGGCCAGCAGTTCCATCGAAACCTTCACGTAACTATCTCTTCCGCCGTCGTTCTGCGAACTCAGCTTGTAGATCAGAACGCGGGCCGCCGTGTCGAAGACCGCCAGGACGTCGCCCCTAGAATCTTGCTGAAGTTAGTTGGAAATACAAGATATTCTCTTTTCTCTCTCAATATTAGAGAAAGGTTTAATTTCCTTGATGATTTTTTATACCCCATTCTTCGCACGCTATTCAGCTACAGAACCCTTTTGTCCATACGCGTGGCCTATCTCTAGGCATGCGCCTTTAATCCTGAATAAATGCGCATGCACACATAAAGCTCGAAGGGGAAAATCGTGACGTATAGCGCGGGACGGGCTATCTCAAGATAGATTTTTGAAGGCTTTGTCTTCAAAAGGCTTCTACAGAAAATACACTTTGACCGGACCTATGAGCGAGGAGAATGGCCCTGGCTTCGAGATCCCAACGGGAGGCATGTCGGTTGTCGAGTTTCGTCGCCAACGGATAGAACCGAATCTGAGGCTTCTCCTCCGAGGCGCTGCAGCAGGCGACGCCCGCCGTGTCGCCGTAGATGAACACGCCTCCGGTCACCAACAAGTCGCGTTCCTTCAAACATTCTCATCAACATCATGCAGCAAATACTCCTCGAAATTTTTTCAAATCTGACTTTTGTGTAGAAAAAAGCCTATCTATTTTAAAAACGCGTTTACGAGAGATGAAAAATTATTAGTCTTTTCAGGCTCCGAAAGCCATGTCATCGTTCAAGCCCCGCCCCTAATTCTGCAAATAATAAATCAGAGACTCCAACGAGAATATTCGAATAAAGTCAATAAAATGTTGAACTTTGAACAGAATTTATTACAAAATGTGTATGAAGATGGAAAATCTCTCTTTTTCCGCCTAATTTTGGGGAAATACAAATTTTTGGTTCAGCTTCTTGATAAATAGAAGGCGACAATGAATGAAAGTAGCAAATTTTCTTTGGAACTTCACCTTTTCGGAGTCTATAGAATTTTTTTAAAACATGAAAATGCATAGAACGTCATCTATTCTGTCCAAAATCTATTCGAATCGTAAAAAAAAGGGAACCTGGCTCTCATTTCCGAAAATTTTCCAACGATTGTTGGAGAGTGAGCAGTGGGCGATTCCGTACTGTCCAGCCACGACCAAATGCCGGAATTCTCGATCCGTCGACACAAACTGTAAAATTTTCAATTTCCACAATTGTTTCAAGGCAAAACAAAAAAAAATTCAAAAAGAAAATTTGGACAAAAACAGGCATCAACAAGTTTTTACCGAGCTATACGGAAAGAAAAAGAAAAAAACAGACAAAAATACGCACCGAGAAATGATTATAAAGATAACTCTTAACGTGATTTTAATTCCTTTTTCATTTTTCATTAAAAAGACCGGTTATGAAGCGAATGAATGGACCGTGAGATTCTGCTAAACAAAGTCTCCCAAAAAAACCGATCAAACGAAGATTTTGAAAAAAATCCTCCCTATGGCAGGATCACCAGTAAAAAGTGACGCGCTAAGAGGTCGAAATATATATAGGAAAAAAACACAAGTAAAAATATTTCAAACTCTATTGACCACATGGGGAATGCTCCGTGTTGCGGCTCGTCATTTTCTGATTCGATAATTGTAAAAAAATAAAGCGTTACAATTCAGCAGATTCTTTCTTTTCTTTTTTTCAATCATTTTGCTGCACGCGGGATGGCTCCAAGCGTTGCGGCTCAAAAAAATTAATTTTTTTATACTTTCATCAGTTTTTTTGACTTGACGGTTGTGAAAAACGAAACGTGGAAACTCGAATAATGAGAAAAATAGTTTTTTTAACTTTTTGAAAAAAATCATTTAGCCGCACGCGGAGTGGCTTAAAGTTTTCAGACTTAAGATAGATTTTACGCATTTTAGGTTTAATGAACTCAGCTAATTCGATTTTCTGATAAGAACTTTCTAAAAAATCTTTTTCCGACTTTTTCCTCTTCTCTGAAATATCGATGAGAACTGTCCAAAACATCTTTTTTTTTATACTTAATTTTCTCGTATTTTGCCTATTTCTCTCTAAATTTTTTGACAGAATTGTTGCTGTTCCTCGGATTTTGTGCTCGAAAACGCATACGAAGCAGCCGCAACGCGTTGAGCCATTCCCCGTGCGGACCCATTTTCCATGGAAACTCACTCGGAGAGGCCAATTGGCCGCCAGATACTCATGAGGGACATTGATATGGGACCAAACGGCGTGGGGAGCACAGGCGTCCGTCTCGCGTTCCCTGGCCGGACTGATCAGAACCTGCGATTCGCTGAGGAAAACGGCTCGGTTGGTGTGTTCCTACAAAGAAATCGCTGTCCAATGTTATCTCGCCTTGTTATTTTTTCAACTATATTTTTTGTTTTCAAAGATAACTTATTTAAGTACAGCCGATTCACGGCTGCCTTGAGCCATCTAAAAAGGGTCCTAACACGATAAAAGGAGATATTGTTTGGTTGTTGGAGAGCGCAGACAGGCCACGCTCCCCGAGAATCAGCTATACCGATGAAAAAGTATAAAAGTCATACCATAACCGGATTCCCACAGGCGGCGCTATGAACAATGGGAAGGACTGCCAAACCGTCGCCTCGGCCCAGCCAGAGCTGAAGTCCTTCGGGACCCCATTCCATCGAAGTGTAGTACTCCGAGGGAAGGACGCCGTGGCTGAAGAATCAAAGCAACATTCTTGAAATCCAAGGGGTTTTTATAAAAGGAATAAAAAGTTCATAGTCTGTATGAAGCCGCAAAAAAATAGTGCTTATTCGAGAATCTCTAAAATTAGTACAGTTCTCCTAGTCCCCGCCTTTATTTTGTCTCTGAAACCTGTCCATGAGGCTTTCCAGGCTGCAGAACGACTGCGCTCCGAAGGGCGTGAAGATGGCGAGGGTCGGCGGAAGTCGGGAAGTGGTCGACGCGGTTGGAGAAGCGAGGACGTTGCCGCTCTCCGATCCGCTGGCTCCGGGTTCCTCGGCGTTTCTCGGTTCCCAGACCGCGGAAAAAGCCGAGCCGTTGGGAAGCATCCGGACTGCCGAAACGGGACCCAGTCTATTGCTCAGTTCTGAAAGATTATTTGGTTGAAAAAGCCGATAAACCCGAATTTAGGATACTGACACAGAGGTTGGACTTTAGAAAAGACACACACCACCTAAAACTCAAAAAAAAAGTACCGTCAGAAAAGGTACAAAAACATTTTTTACTCACAACTTCCTTGTTCAATTTTTCTGAAACCCTATAAAGCTGCGTTTTTTTTTTTCGCAAACTGAAATTCCACCAGAGTGTTGAAAATAGCATTCATATGAACTCCAGCAGGATTCCGAAAGATTAGACTCCAGACAAAAAGATTGTGCTCGAAAAGGCGATTTATCGTATCTTTTCTAACGAAACTAAAAACAGAGATTTCACTCTACAAAATTGGTTATTTCAGAGCACATATCCGCAAATTTGTTTATAATTTCGAAAAAAAAAACAGATTTTTGAACAGCAAAGACTTTTTAGAAATCGCTAGATATGCTCGAAAAATATCTATTTTTTTCAAATCTGGATTGCTAGAAACTTGATTTCCAACTGAACCTTTAGCGTAATTGATGAGAAGTTTTCAGTATAATATCAACATAAAATTATCTAGAAAGAAATGAATATAATCAGAGTGTCATCATTTCAAAAAAAAAAAATTGAAAAATTAACAAATTTTAGAAAAAAATAAAAAAAAAAAGGCCTGAAAATTCAATGAAGAGCTCTGAAAATTCCTAAAATAACACACTGCAAACTAACCAGCTTTTTAAAAATTCTCAAAACGTTTCTTTCAGAAATTTTAGAAGAACCTTAAAAACCAACCGGGGCCATTAGTGACTCTCAAAGAAACTCGGAAAGTTTGAACCAGCGAGCCATTCGCATCGTCCAAATTGTAGGCGCAAACGTCTCCACTGGAAACTTTGCCGTTATACATGGAAAATGGAGCAAAAACTCGCTTTTTGCATCCAAAAACGAGCAATCTGAACTTGTGGTTGACGTCGCAGCAGACCGCGTCGCGCAGGTTCAACGCCCAAACGCCTAGTAAACTCTGAAACTTTTCAAATTTCTTGGAAAGTGATGGAAATGATAACATTTGGTCGGAATAAAGCGTCAGCCGAAGTGAGAAGGGCGGCCCGGCCATCCGACAGAATGATACAGTAACCACCTATCAATGGAGCATAGACGGCGTCGGCGATGAAGGCTGTTTTCGAGGTGACGTAATCAGCTGAAAGTTCGAAGAGTTTTACAGGAATTTTTCAGGGAGGTTAATGCCGTGCAATTCAAAATAACGTCTAAATCTCCAAAATTAAGTTCCCTTTTTCTCACTCTAATTGAAAAGGCATAACCAAGAGCTTTCGTTTCCAATTATACGTTAACACGGCTTTAAAAAAGCCTAATGAAAATTAAGCCCAAAAAGAGGTCCTAATGTCCCTTTTTCAAGAATTTTGAAAATTCTAGCACTCTTTCATGATCAAAATATAATCAAGAAGCCACAAAAAGAGCTAAAAAACAAATTTCGCAAAAAAATTTTGTGAAGTCTTCTAAATTATCGATTACCAACAACTTTATCAGGAGATAATTGGTCTAAAACGAAAAAAAAAATATTTCGCGAGCTATCCCCTTTTTCAAGGCCAAATTATCCACGGTTTTCTCGCAAAAACCAAAATATATTTGTCGAATTTTCCTCTAACAGTGAGACTTTCGAGTAAATAATTCAATTTCAATTTATTCAGTAAGATGAAGAAAATCTCTGCTGAATCATGGTATGATCGAAGAGTTAGTCGTCGGCGCGGGTTACGGTCCACAATCCGAGTAAATAAATTAAAATGAAGAAATTCCAAGGGCTTTTTTCTCGTAAAAATTCAAAATAATTTCTCCCTTCTTCCTGGTACAATCTTAGGAACACTGAGCTGTTTGAAAATGATCTTTCTCAAAAAAAAAAGAAATAATAACAAAACTAACGTTTTGACTGTAGTTGATCATGTGCAAAGGGGACACTCGAGAGCCGGAACGACATTTCGGGGTCGATGACGCCGTTCCAGGTGACGTGGTGGGCGAAGCCGTTCCGGACGCACACCAGGATCTCGTCTTTCGAGGAGACACAGCTGGAAAATAACTTTTTCTTCAGAAATCGAGAAAGAAAACGAAAAACCAAGTGGCCGGAGCGGCTAGGTTGATGACAACAGACGGTAGAAGGTTAACAATTGGTCGGGAGCCGCGCAAAAATAGTTCCTAAAAAACAATGTTTTTCATTGAAACTCGATCCCTTGAAATTGTTACACTAGTTGAAGCTTCTGAAAAGATTTTCATAAAATTGAATAAATTTTTTTTCTTTTTTTTTTCGAAAGATAAAAGACGAATATTAATTTCCAATGAAAGTCAAGAGACTTTCGGGAAAAGTATCTCTTTTTGCATTTAATTTAATGAAAACTATCCAAAACCTTGTAAATGTTTCAGAAATTATAACAAAAATCGAACTTTTTCCAAATTTTAACCTCAAGAGTATGAATATATATATAATTCATAGCGATGAAACAAGACAAATTCTTAGCCTCAAAAACTTTTCAATGAAAACCTGAGAAGTCCTCTGAAAATTGACATCGCTCGAATCGTGCAAATTGTAGCAATTCTCCTCGGAAACGAGTACTGAATAAACCAGAATTTGGTTTCGAGTCGTCTGAAAATAATGAAATGAATGAATTTCGAAAAACTAAACTCACAGAAACAGCGATGGCGCCGGAATCAAAGCGCCAATAGATTTTGCGCAGAGTTCCCCGTTCGGAAACCTCGGATTCACTTAGGCCGACGGAGCAAAGAAGCAATTGGGGCTAAATATTCTTTTTTTTTTCTTCAACTTAGAAAAATTCCCCACATAAGCAAGCCAAATATAAATTGTATCATCGGTCGCGACGGCGACAAACGATTTTTCGCGATTCGCCGCGACATCGTTGACATTTCTTCGCGTCGGGACCTCGTCTGGCGTCGGAAGGTGTAACGACACCTCGCGGTCCCTCTGTGAAAAATCAATGTACATTGAATTCGAAAAAATTGAAATTCAACTGTAGAAATGGTAAAAGGAGCGAAATATATGTAAAACTCACAGGGATATACATTCCTCGAAGATTCTCAGTTTTTCGAGGCACACCTCATCCGAAATTGGCCCAGTATAGATGTCAGCAGCCTTGAAAAAACGAAAAATTAGTACTAGACCTCAAAAAATTAATATTAAAAAGCCGAAAAAGGGAAATTATTAAAAAATAAAATAACATTTTTGCAGTTCGTCCATGGAGCGAACTTTCCTCATGAAAGGCTGTGTTTTTTCCGAGGGATTTTTGAGAGCAAGCTGGAAAGTACAGACGTTCAGGAAGAATCAGAAATTTTAGACAGTTTTAGGGTGATATAATTGAAGATTAAGTGAAAGATTAAAAAAATGCTGACAATTCCAAAGCTCGGGCGAAATGAAAAAAATGTATTTTTTTCTTTCTTCCGGATTTTTTTCTTCCTATCATCTTCTAAACTTGAATCTAGTTTAAAAAAATTAGCTCGCCTTACGCATATTCAAAAAAATTTCAAAAATGTATATATAAATTCATCAAAAAGTTCTGAAGAAATCATGCGGAAACGTTCTAAATTTGCCCTTTTCAGTTCTTTAATCTTCGAAACGGGTCATTTTCAACTATTTGAACAGTCTGATACTTATTTTCTGGCTTTTTTTCGAAGATTTTTTTCACAAAATAAAAGATTGCAAATTCGAAAAATGTGTTTTTTATAATTATTTTCTGATTGAAAAATCGCTTTAAATTTAATATGTTTCATTTTTCGCAACGACTATGAGATAAGAAGGCAGTCACTAAGAGTGAAAATTGAAAAAAATTGAAAAAAAAAATCGCTTAGGGCGTGTATGCGGACTTTGGTCGTGATCCACGTCCAACTTGATTACAGTAATCCAAGATTTCGGGCTTTGTTCTTTCTCGAAAGCTAACTGGTTCCTACTATTCTTTCTTTTCTTGAAAAAAAAACCGAGGCATTGTTAACTGCTAATCGAATTTTTTTTTAAGGAGCAGGTGTCTCGCGACATTTCGTGCTTCAGGTCACTATTTTTTTTAGAACCACCTTCGTTTAGAGTATTTTTTCTCTCTCCTTTTTTCTTTTTTCTTTTTCGGCTGGCTGGGCCAACCTTTTTCGAACATCTACGAGACGAAAGAATTTCGCGCGTGTGAGGCAACTAGGAGAAAGAGTTACCATAGCGATAGGGCAAAACTTTTAGGTTTTACTCGGGCCTTTTTGTTATTAAAAAAAGACCCGAAATTATTTTTAACTAGATGCATGTAGAAGCTCGAGTAGAGAGCTCAAGAATGATTCTGAAGGCATTATATTGACCTCAGAGATGGTTCTAAGAAATAGGTTATAGATAAGTAAGAGAAAATCTTGAACTTATTATAAGCTTCTTCACTTTCTTCATAAAAACTCATGAAAATGTCTCAACACGAGGTTTGTAAAATCAAAACTTCATCATTTCTCCTTTAGGAAAAACTAGCTAAAATTCAGTTTTTCTCTCACAAAATCAAGGTGCGGCCAGCTCATTATTTCCTCTTTCTTCTAGTTTTCTTTCATTTTTTTCTTTTTCTAATTAGAGAATCTTTGGACTTGCGAATTCCCTACTCGTTTTCAGCTTCTTCAGACTAATTTTATCAATGCGACTTGAAAAGTTTAGAATTCCGAAACGTGCAATTTACCCACTTTTGTAAAACTAATTGGCGTGTTTATGCGTTTTCGAATTCAAACATCTCATTGCTCACTGTCGAAATCAACTTTCTAAGTAAAAGACTTTCTCATTCGCGCCTCTAATGTATCTTGGACATGTGAAACTCCAATTATCATTAGCTGGAAGGGTTAAAAACGCGAAAAAGGTTCCGCCTGAGCCGTCCTACTTCTATCTCCCGTTTTTGTCCCTTTTATGTTTATTGTGAAAAAAAAACCGTCGGTGACATCAGTTTCCGAGGTTTAAAGTGTTTCAACTTGAGAAAAGTTATACTGATAAACTTTTCTCAGAAGTTTCAGAGATTTTAGTTTCTCAAACTTGAAAAAAATTCTAACTACTGCAAAAAAAAAGAAGAACGAACAGACAAATAGAAGAACAGTTCATTTAGGCGTGCTTATACGGAGTGAGAAGCTCCTGAATCATCGATCCAAGGAGAAAATTGGAAAAAAAACATTTCGAATTAAAATCGCAGTGCTCGTCGCGTGCACGCAGACACTATTGTAGAGGTCACGTACAATCGATTACAGTAGCCAAAACATGCGAAATTTCTTCAATATTACTTTTTCTTCTATTTCATCTGTTTTTAGACTATTTTTCACCTGCCCACCGTATTAGAACTAGAATGACTAATACGGAGACTTCAGTGGAAAGTAGAGAAAAAATAACGTTCCGGGTCTCCGTTCCAAATGTAATTAAAAACAAAAAACCAACTCTTTCCCCGAAAACTCTGTTTTCTCAAATGTTTCATTTTACCATTCTGGCTTTGATCTTTTTTTTCAGGAAGCTAGTTTTGAGTATAAAATAATTGTTTGCATAAATCATAGTCATTTTCTTTTCTCTTTACGGGGAAAATTGTATGTTATTGGGCCGTTTTTGAGTGCCGCCTATTTTCACACGCGTCATTTACGTTTTCTCACTCGATATATCCGAAATCCAATCCGGGCAGGTGAGAATGAACCAAAATTTGATTTCCCTTCCTCGCGACATACTCGAAAATTTGCACCGCTGACGTCAAACAAGTTCGAAAAATTTCGGGACCGAATGAAGTGTTATATAAATTCGTTTCGTTGTTCCCACTTGGTTATAAAGGAAGTGATCTCAGTTTTGTCTGGATTTTTCAGTTCCTTATTTCTTTTTTTAGTTGTTGATTCAATTTTTGTATTCTCCTTTTTTCACATATCTAAAATTCTAAAGACTTTACAGCTTATTCATATGAATTATCATGTTGTAAGATTGAAAGTTCGAATTTAAATCCTTTTCTGATGTTTTTTTTTCATTTCTTTAATAAAATTATCGAAAAATCAGAAATCAGATAAGTTTGATTATCGATCGAACTCAAAAGTTCAAAATTTTTCGTGATTTTTCACTCCGAAAAATTCTGAGCCAACCGAGTTTCTAAATTCTTCCCTACGTTTTTGATGGAGGACGGACAATTTTAACAAAATTCTCGGACCTTGGTAACGCGAACGGGACGCGAAACGGACGTGTTGGGGCATTTCTAGTGACCACTTTAGTAGCCTTAACGCTCTTAAGTGATCCCTTGAAACGCCCAGAAACGTCCGGAGCACGTCCGTTTCGCGTTATAGTCTGTTCAGATTTTGAATGTCAATTAGAATGACGTCATTCGAAAAGGCTCTGTGGATGGCTCGCTCTCTGATTGGTTCATCGCACCATTATGGGCGGAGCTTGAACGACGACTTGACATTCAAAATCTGAACAGACTATACCAATGTCCGAGTTAGAAACTTCAGAAAACCTGATTATCGATGGAGCGCTAAAGTTTCAGGATGGCCGGCTATTTTGGCAGCTCTCTTCCAATTTGAAAGCCAAAAATCTCTGTTTTCAATCTATTTCGAGGCCTCCAACAACTCGTAGCCTGAAAGCAATATTGTTGCCTCCCGAATCTCGGCTATAATTTTCCGCGAGTGCAATTTGCAAAATCTCAATCAACACGCTATTGACCCGCTCTCTCTACACAGCCATTATTTTTTTATTTCATTGGCCTTTCGACAAAAGATATGTACGAATCTACAAGGAAAAAAAAATTATTTTACAGCCGATTTTTGGACATGAAGACTCCGCCCGCTTGCTGAATGGGAGCTTCGTTGTGCGCTCCAAAGAAAAAGAAAACGGTGAGAAATTTTTTGTTTGAAATGAAAAATGCCAGGAAACTCTAGCACCATTTTTTAACTTCTTTTGAAGTTTTATGTCGTGAAAAAGAAGGGATCATTTTTTTAAAAAAATGTATCTATATAATATAAAATGTATCTATATAAAATATCTCTCAAGCACGCCAGGTGAGTTATCAGGTACACAGGCACATTTATGTTTTACCTAAATAAAATTTAGACTTTTTTTTTGCTTTTGAATTTTTTTTAAATATTCAATACTCAACGAATTTCATTGGTACCTGACCGTGTAGCGCCCATTCGCTTTAAAAATTTTTCAAAGCTGCGCCCGACCAAAGACGACTTTCGCGCCTTTGCCAAAAAGTTTTGAAGTTTTTCCCCTGAGCAACCGCAACGACTTATAACATATTATATGTTATCAGAAAACTTCATATAGTTTCTTTTCGTTTCTCACATTCTCATTATTCAATTTTCATTGAAATTCCCGAATTACTGTCTTTTTCTCCAGCAAGTAGGAGCCAGTTGGGTGGGCAACGAGTCGGAAAACCCGTTCGATGTGTCGCTAACGAAGAAGGATCGCACCTGTCTCCGTGAAACTTTTCAGGTGCCTTTTTTATTTTTACTGATATCTTGAGGAGAAGTAGAATGTTTTCAATCAGACTACAAATTTACAAAAGTTCACAACCTTTCAGACATTAAACAAGTATTGGCGAAAAAAAAATTGTGGTTGGCTGCTATTTTGTATCTTCCAGGTTGAAGGGCTCAAAAATCTACAAACCTCTTGAAATTTTTTTTTCAAACTGGAACGATTTTTCTCGCATTTTCAAAATTTTACTACATTGAATTATAGATTCTGATGAAATCGTTTCCAATAGAAAAATAAAACTTAGTTTACAGGGATAGACGTGATATTGTTCACCTGGCTATGAAAAATATCATTCGAGTCTCCCCTGCGAAAATTTTTAGTTGCCACTCTAGGGTTTAGACTTTTAAATGGCCACTATAGTAGTAAAAACAGTGAACACTTCAGAAGTCTAAGTGGTACTAGACCAATGAACATTGTAGTGGCCATTTTAGTGTATTCTCCAAATGGTCCTTGGAGAATCCCTTAAGTGGGCTCTCTCTCAGACAGGCTTTTTTTTTAATCTTGAAAGCTATTTCGTTTGCCGCAAAACATAAAAAAGAAAACTAGGAACTTTAGAGATTAGAAGAACCGAAAGAGGTGGTCGGGCTGATCTTCGTCGACATCGTCAACGACGTCGAGCCGGACCTGAAGAAGGTCTTCGGCGTGGACCGAGCGCCGCGGCCTGTCATGCTCAAAATGCCCAAGTTTGGGGGTCATGTTGCTCGGTTCACTGACCTTCTGGATCAGGTAGGACTTTTTTGACTTGAGAAAGTTCTGAAGCTTAAACTTGAGTCTATATTATAAAAATGTTGGTTGCAGATTTGAAATCCTTGACAGTGTCCCGAAAAAAAAAACCAATTTTTTTCATTCGAGTTAAATAAAGCACGACCTTTTATAATTGCGAGTTTTTGACCTTAGAATTCTAAGTTGATCACTTTACAAAGCTCTTTTTCTCTCTCTAAAATAATCTCAAAATATCAAGATGACGCCTGTTGGACACAACGTCTTGCTCTCACGCTCCAATCTTTTTCCCTCAAAAGACACAGAAAACCAATACGACTATCTAAATTAGTAAAGCGTGAGAAATTCAGACTCTCACAATTTGGGTTTTTTTCGGCAAAAAAGAAAGATTGTTTCCTAATCTTTGAATAGGAACTAGTATAAGGTAGTCTTCTCAAATGGAAAGAGCTTTTTTTTTCGTGACTGAGCCCATTTGAAGTCAGAAATTCGATAGTTACAGTTAACTTCCATGTTGGGCTACACGGAAAATTTGACGGGAGCCTGGCAATTGGTCCGGAAAACCGGAAGAAGCCACGTTCGGCAAGGGTCAGTTTTCTTCTTTTTATTCCAAATTTTTGCTTCTTCAGATTCCTTGAGCTCAACCAGAATCAGCTAGAGAAAAACTATTTCGAAGTCGTGCTCAACGTCTTCATCGATCGTTTTATACCTTATTTGACGGGAGAACAGGTTTGTTGAGTTCGAAAATCTTTTTAAATTAGTGAATAAAAGGTTTTTTATGAAACCGGGATTATTCAAGACCGATTAGCACATTAAAATAACGTTGGAAAAAAGTAGAAATACAGTTTTTTTAAAAGCAAAAAAAGCTTCAGAAGATCTCAAAAACAGTAAAAAAAGTTTATGAAAAAACTGAAAAAGCGCTCCAAAAAACTTTTCGAGTCTGATTGATTTCATTTTATTCAAACTGAATTGAAATTTCAGAAAAAAATTAGCGATTTGATTTTTGATAATTTTTTTACTAGGAAAGTAAGACTTTTTCCAATTCTCTAGGACAGCAGTTCCATTTAGAAAAATTGATCCTTCAAAGGAGGATATTTAAAAAAAATGATAGTTTAAAATAAGGTTTTTCTCGAATTTATAATAAATCATGTACATTTCTTGCTTAAAATCTCTTACTTAACACGAAATATGAACTTGGTAGCAAAAATCCGCCCTTTTTTAGCAATTACCAAAGGCGGCTGGATCGGAAAACGATCAGAAGAAAGTCCGGTTCGCTAACAATTATCAACCTCAACAGATTCAAGATATTTGGAAAAAGTACGATTTTCCTATTTGTAAAATGAAAAACGAGGAGATTTCAGATTCTTCACCATATTAGCCGCCCAAATGACAGATTCGTTCGAGTTGGAAAGAGCGAAACAAAGAAACGCCCAAAGTCAGAAAGCGCTGGCCCCGCATCAACACATTGAACAAAGCGAACGGAAAAAGAAGAGGATTCAGGTGAACTTTCGTTTTTTTAAACGATTCAAAGGAATTTATGCGAAAGTAGATCAAAACTCGGCAACTTCAACGACTCTTAGAGCTTTTCTCTGCGATTTAAGGGGGGTTTAAAAAGAAGGGCTCGAATTTTTTTTCACGTTAGTCCCGGCAAGTTTGCTCCACGGAAAAAGTGCAAAAATTTATTCAATGAATTTTTGGTTCAAAAAAAGTGTTGTTTTTCAGTGTTCAAAAAAATGAACTCGGTGGATTTCTGCGCGAAAAATTCTATTCGGAAAAAAAACTTGCGAACCTGATAAAAGGCGACCACGTTGGCTGTTCTGAGCACGGAAGGGTAGCATGAATAAACTTGAAGGGAAAAAATCGCCACGGACACTTTTCGAGCCAAAAAATAGACGACTTGAATCCAAGTTTGTTGTAGATCAAATTCATGAGATCTTTCGTTGACCTCTTTCTTGCTTTCTCTAAAAATTTCCTTTTCTCTTGGTCCTTCATGAAATTGCTTCTCGGACATTGAAGGCGCAAAACGGACGTTCCTCGGACGTTTCTGAGCAATTTTTGGGATCGGCTAAGAGTTCTGATGATACTAAAGTGACCACTAGAAATGCCTTAACACGTCTTATTCGCTTCCGTTTCACGTTACCATCGTTCGAGTCTGAACTTCATTTTTTGAGCTTTTCTCCGTAGAACGCGTTTACGCTCAAAAAGCAGCAGTTTTTTCTCATCATTAAGAAGCAAAAAATGAAATATTTCAGGAAAAACAGAGCGAAATCGAGAATACGGCGAGCTCCCACGAGCCGAAAGAACAAGAGCAAATGTTCGAGGATCCATTCTAAACTCTCTCTTTTTCTCCTTTCATGAATTCATCGTAAGATCTCCCATTTTATACGGATTTGCTCACGAACCAAAAACGAATGACAATAGCAAAAATTGTTCCTAAATAAATATATGACTGAGATCGAAAAGGTCACCCAACAAAAAGGACATGTACAGAGGGGATCGATGGGAATTCATCAGACATCGTCGAAAATTGAAGGCGAATAATGAAGGGCGAGATGAAGCTCGGCCAGGTGTTCACCGTTCACGTCAAGGACTGAACATTTACATTTATTCGTATTTTTTTTTAATCTGTCACGACTATCAAACGATTATAGTCTCTCATGAAAAAAATTATTCTGACTTGTGAATCATTCAAGATTCCAAAATAAGCTTTGAGACGGTTTTTTTGCTTGACTAAAAAAATGACACCTATAAAATTTTTTTTCAAAACAATATGCTAATGAAACTTTTGATCACCAGTTTTCAAAAACGGTTCGGAAATCTTTTCTAAGCTTTTTTTAGGTCTCAAAATGGTTGCATTGTTACAGTTATCATGAAAATTTCGAATCTTCGAAGCTAGAGAGCAATGGTAAACAAAAGAGCGTTTAGAGAAAAAAAAAAGCGCTCGCCCTCTCATTTCTGAACAGTATTTCCGTGAACTAACAAGAAATCGAGGTGGTTTCCTCCAAGGGGTCGGTGAAGAGCTGGAGCTGCGCGACGCCGAGTTCCTCCTCCTCGGAACCTCCGATCAACAAGGTGAAGTCGACCCGATTTCCGAGCTCGATCCACTGCTTGAGAAGCGCCACTCTTCGGCGAGTCAATCGATATTCTGAAGTCAATTTTTTGAGGTTGTCTATGACGCTGCAATAATAAGAAAAAAATGCGAAATCAGAATACAGCCCGGAAATACAAGCTCTCAGAATATTACAAAATCAATAGTAAAAAAATCAGAGCTCCGAGAAGCCTGAGGAAAACGCGCTCCAGGGATAATGCTCGCCAGTTCTCGATTATTCAAGATATGTTTGAAATTTCAGGAGTTCTCCCACTCTTTGAGCTATTTTCTAGTATTTTGCGAGCATAAAAGCTAAATTTTTCAAAAATCTCGAAAAAAAAAACCCTCATTTTATTTTTAGTATACCTTTTTTGAACTGAATTGGCGCTTCTTCGCCGGCCACTCTCGGTAGAGAAAACTCGTTGGTTTTGGATTCTTCTACCGGAAAATCGAGAAACGTCCTGTAATATGATTATTTTTCAGAGACCTATAAAACTACTCACCAATCCACATAAACCTTGGTGTTGTCGAAATATCTCAACAGCAGCCGAGAATAATCCATGACTTCAAACTTTTCGATCCAAAGCGTCACTAGAGCTCCGCCGCTCTCATTTCCTTCCTCCTTCAATGGGGTATTACAGTATTTCGAGCTTTCTTCGAAAAACTTCGAATTGACTCGAGGTGCTCGTGTGTCGGATCGCGCTGCGGCCTCCACTGTCCGGCAAAGCGACGGGTTGACGTTCATTTTGTCGTGGCGACGATACAGACGAAGTTTCGCTCGCTAAAACACGTTTGAATCGGGAAACTTATTGAAAAAATAAATGCTTCTATCTATGTTCTTCTACATTTATTCAGTTGTTTTGTGTAATAAATAAACTTTGAAATTCCGTTATAGTTGGTAAAAAAAAAGACACTTCAACGGACCATATGCACGGTCAGGAAGTCAAAAACCCTCTCCTTTTTGGAGAAAAGGCTCAAATTTCCTGCCAAATTTGGTAAGGAAGCTTTGATTTTCAGGGTTTTGACCCATTTTTAGAGAATTTTGAAGCTAAAATAAGGTGACCTGAACATGAAAAGTTGTACTTCAATTAGTACTTTTTTTACTTCAAAAAAAAAAAAATACAGGTTTTTTTTTCTATCTTTTTATGAAAATTATTTTAGACTCTCATGAATTTCTTGAAAACTCAAAACTAGTAGAATTATACATTAAAATGCAACTTCTCCGATAACATTTTTGAATGAAATAAAAAGAAACTGACGAGGAATGGACCTATGAAGGGGATCGGTGAAGAGGACGTTTCGGCCGCCGGAATCCATTGATTTGGAGGTCTAAAAGGGGGAAATGTATAGTTAGAAGAAGGAGCCATGCGATGTGTAATTCAAGCTTCCTGAGGCGAAAAAAGAATTTCTCCTTCCAAACGATTCAAATTATAGCCTTTTCAAGAAAAATTGCCTGAAACCTTGTCTGTTTCACCAACCGATGTCCTCGGCTTTGCGATGGGTGGCAAATTTCCGAGCAGACTACGGATTTCATCGCTTCTCTTGATTTGTTCTGAAGACGTCGACGACGACGGTGACACGGCTTCTTCTTCGGGAGCTTCGATTGTACCTTAAACTCTTGATGAGGTTGTTCTATGAACGCTTCTTCTATTTGCAAGAATTTGACCACAACAAGGCGGTGTAATGCCAAGGTCGAAAGCCGGCGTGTGAAAAAGAGACGAGAGAAAGCGCCAACGAGAGAGAAAAAACTCTTTAATGGGCAATCGCTTTCACGATTTAGCTGTCATTGAGGAGACAATGGCGAGAGTGGACAGATGCAATGGAAAACTCAGACGACATCAAGGAACTTGCAACGAAAAAAACCCCCAAGAGGGAGAGAATTTCAGTCCGCGAAAAACCTACTCGCAGTAAAGTAACGGGTGTGACGGTTTCTATAAAAGGGCAGGCCCTCGTCCAAAAAGACAGCAGCAGCTCTTTGGAATGAGCGTCAAGACATTCCTCGGCCTGGCTTCGGCCGGCAGCGCCCTTGTCATTTTCGGCGCCATCGTCTCCGTCATCTACATCTTCAACGACATCAACTCTTTCGTTGATGATGCTCACCGCGAGCTCGGAGAGTTCAAGGTAGCTGTCCTCATAGCAACAATTTCTCATTTCTTTTCTTCTCAGGTCTTCGCCAACGATGCTTGGGATTCGATGATCGGAGCTCAGAACGCCGCTGCTGTCCGCAACGTTCGCAGCGTCTTCGTCGCCCGCCGCCACAAGAAGCAGTCTTCTCAGTGCAACTGTGGAGCTCAGCCAAGCAACTGCCCAGCCGGACCTCCAGGACCACCAGGAGCCGCTGGAGAGCCAGGACACGATGGCGAGCCAGGTCACGCCGGAGCTCCCGGAGGAGCCGGAGCCACCGGTGGATCCAGCGATGGTGGTGAATGCATCAAGTGCCCAGCTGGAGCTCCAGGACCAGCCGGAGCCCCAGGACCAGCCGGACCACCTGGACCATCCGGAAACCCAGGAGCCCCAGCTCAAGGCGGCGGTCAAGGACCACCAGGACCACCTGGACCAGCGGGAGACGCCGGAGCACCAGGACGATCTGGAGCCCCAGGAAACCCAGGAAGAGCCGGAGCTCCAGGAACTCGTGGTTCTGGACTCCCAGGACCAGCCGGAGCTCCAGGACCAGCTGGACCAGCCGGAGCGCCAGGACAAGACGGAGAATCTGGCGGCAACGGAGCTCCAGGACCAGCTGGACCGGCAGGACCTGACGGACAGCCAGGACAGCCAGGATCTGACGGAGAGGCCGGAACTCCAGGAAGCCCAGGATCTCCAGGAGGCGACGCTGTGAGTTTCTCTTTCACTTGATTATTTGAATGAGGATTGTTACAGGCCTACTGCCCATGCCCACCACGTGACGGAGCCGCTCCACCAGCCAGCAACCCATCCGGAGAAGGCTTCAAGCGCCGCCATGTCTCCCGTCACCGTGCCGTCAACCGCAAGCGCGTCGTCGCCGCCAAGAAACGCGTCGTCGCTGCCGCTGCCCGCAAACGCGTCGTCGCTAAGCACCGTGTTGCTGCCGTCCGCCGCCACGTCCAGGCCTAGAGCCCTCGCTGTGTCATCTTTTCTGATTGATAGAACTATTAGAATAAAAATTCTTTTCTATACATCGCAAAAGCACAAAAAGTCTAGAAAAAAAAATGAAAATGAAAAATTGAACTTATCGATTTTCGAAATGAATCAAAACTTGATCAAAAAGTTACAAGGAAGAAGTAAGTTTCATCCACTGAATATAAACGTATAAACTATACATCTTTACTACAAGTAGACAAAATTAAAAAAAGAAAAAAACTTAGCTTCCAATATCAGGCTGATTTGCTTTTTGCATATCTTTTTGAATAGCGTTGAAAACATTCAGTACTCTTTGATCACCAAAAAGTTCCTCTTCAACAGTTTCCCAGCTCGAGAGAAACTCAAACAAAAGCGAGTTTTGGCATACTTCTATAGTTATTTTCCGCAATATAAGATGAGAAAGGAAAACTGAAAACTATATTATTAATACGCCTCTTTGACTCAGTGTACACAACCTACAGACATTGGAAAAGTTCGAGAAATGAATCGTCGAAACATGAGTAATTGAAAAGTAACTCTCCTCCAAATTCGAACTTCAGAAGGAGATTTTTTTCATTCGTTTTTGGATGCTGAAAACGAACTGCAACAAAAAGTTCTAAATTTGAGAAAACAGATGAATTTTGAATATTAGGTAAGTCTAAGAGGAGTTGATTAACAAAATTTTTTAAAAAGGAATAAAGTCGAATTTCAACCTCAGGGAGGTAGTGTTGACAAGATTAAGGTATTTCTGAACTCAGGGAGGTAGTACTGACTTCAATTCAGGAAGGATTGGGAGAAGGTGAATGCGACCTTCAAAAATTTCTAGTACTACAGCTCCAAAATTCCATGAAGATCAAGAGATGGAAAAAACAAACTTAATGATCAACACCTGAGCTACCTTTCCTCAATATAAACCACAAGTTGCGGCTGACCGTGTGAAGAAAGAGAAAGTGAAAACTACGGTAAACATTTATTTTTAATACTTGAAATGCCTGAACTTGTTCAATGGAAATAGTTTTGCGTCAAAGAGGGTCAGACGAAAAATCAGGGCTAAAAAAGACTTCTTACAGGCTTCGTTTAACCAAACTAAACAAAAAAAGAAGACTTTTGAATTGCTTGATTATATTTCTCCTTTTTTCCGGTATCTCTGCACCTTGGCTTGATTTTTGCGCTTCTTTTTATGATGACTAAAATTTAATAATAAGGAATAAACTCCTAACCAATTGTTCTTCCTTTTATTTGTCGCTAATTTTTTTTTGCCAAAAGAAAGAGCCTGGAAAGTTCGTATAAATTGTGACGAGTAATGAGGGAGTCAAATAATTGGTTTAGTTTAAAAAATTTTCTCCCAAATTTCAAAAGCTAAAAATTTTTCGGAAGTGTTATGTAAATGTTGGTGTTGAAATTTCTATTTTCTGATACGTACATAAATTTATATTTAAAGAATGAATTGCTTTCCTGAATGAATAACTTTTAACAATGGTTGGCCGGTGCAAAATGAGCGGTATCGTTGGAATTCATTTAACTATAAAAAATGACGAAAATATATGACTTCAAAAAATTTTTTTTCAATCCCAAGTAAGATCTGTTTGGAACAGACTGTGCTCAAGATCCGACATGAACACCTCTGTCACCAGCTTCAGGAATTTTCTCGACTCTCTCGACAACAATGAACTACTCGCAAGTGTGCCCAACAGGCTTCTCTAAGAAATCTGAAAGTTTGGTTCTCAATATTCAATACGTGTCTCCCATCCCGGTAAATCGCTCGTTAGGGCGTTTTTATATCGGGTTCCCTTTCACTCAAATTCTTCCTTTTTTAATACTCTGTATTTTCGTGTTTGAGTGAAAAAAAAAATAAAAAAATAAATCTGTCTATGTAAAAATGAAAGACCGCTTCAGAATCTAACTTGAGAATGAAATATAAACCGAAGAACCCAACGCTCATTTCTAACCGACCAGGTGAAAAGGGTTGTTCTTTATTAGTCTTCTTTTCCTAATGGAAATAAAAAGTGTGGAGCATTTGGAGCAAGACTTTCACAAATACGAACACTGTAACTCTTACTGAATTATTAAACTTTTCACAAAAAATAACTCCTGCAAAAAATACTACAGGAACCGACTACAATCTTCTCTTCTTCTCATCAAAAGTTAACTTTCGTGACTTTTTTTCCATAGAGTAAACGTCCAGCCCGTTCCAGCGCGATACCATGAGACAAAGCCATTACGCGAGAATAACGCGAGGAAAATGACCTTGGCCACTTTCCGCAATAGCAAAAAAGTACAGAAAGGAAGTTAGCGGAGGGTTGATACAAATCGAGGAAACCATGGAGTGTAAATATGGCGCAAAGAAAAACGAGCAAAAAAAAAGACTGCAGGAACGTTGTAGTAAACGTTCTGATTAACTGTGACCCAACGTTGTATAAAAGGCAAGTTGGTTGGCAACTAAACCAGCAGCAGCTCGAGAATGAGCGTGAAGGCAGTTCTAGGTCTGGCTTCGGCCAGCAGCGCCCTTGTCATCTTCGGCGCCATCGTCTCCGTCATCTACATCTTCAACGACATCAATTCTTTCGTTGATGATGCTCACCGCGAGCTCGGAGAGTTCAAGGTAACTATCCTCATAGCAACAATTTCTCATTTCTTTTCTTCTCAGGTCTTCGCCAACGATGCTTGGGATTCGATGATTGGAGCTCAGAACGCCGCGGCTGTCCGCAACGTTCGCAGCGTCTTCAGCACTCGTCGCCACAAGAAGCAGTCTTCTCAGTGCAACTGTGGAGCTCAGCCAAGCAACTGCCCAGCCGGACCTCCAGGACCACCAGGAGCCGCTGGAGAGCCAGGACACGATGGCGAGCCAGGTCACGCCGGAGCTCCCGGAGGAGCCGGAGCCACCGGTGGATCTACCGAAGGAGGTGAATGCATCAAGTGCCCAGCTGGAGCTCCAGGACCAGCCGGAGCGCCAGGACCAGCTGGACCACCCGGACCATCCGGAAACCCAGGAGCCCCAGCTCAAGGCGGCGGTCAAGGACCACCAGGACCCCCAGGACCAGCCGGAGACGCTGGAGCACCAGGACGATCTGGAGCCCCAGGAAACCCAGGAAAAGCCGGAGCTCCAGGCACTCGCGGATCAGGACTCCCAGGACCAGCCGGAGCTCCAGGACCAGCTGGACCAGCCGGAGCGCCAGGACAAGACGGAGAATCTGGCGGCAACGGAGCTCCAGGACCAGCTGGACCAGCAGGACCTGACGGACAGCCAGGACAGCCAGGAACTGACGGAGAGGCCGGAACTCCAGGAAGTCCGGGATCTCCAGGAGGCGACGCTGTGAGTTTCAGCGTTTACTTGATAATTTGAAGAATCAACTGTTACAGGAATATTGTCCATGCCCGCCACGTGACGGAGCTGAAAGCGAGTCTGAGCGCAGACACAAGCATCGCCAGGTCTCCCGCCATCGCGTCTCGCACAAACGCGTCGCTGCTAAGAAGCGCGTTGCCGCTGCCGCTGCTCGCAAACGTGTTGTCGCCAAGCACCGTGTTGCTGCCGTCCGCCGCCACGTTCAGGCATAAATCACCCAACTTTTCAAATCGCAAAATGTCAGATAATAAAAAGCTTTTCTTTCTATTTGGCGTACCTCCATGTTCCACAGTGACTTGAGAAGAAGAACTGGAAGGTGATGAGGGAATCAGTTCGACAGGCAGCGCCGGAATGATCTCAGGCGAGGGAGTTTCGGCTTCAGGAACAAGCTCTTCTTCTATCGGTAGCTCTTCTTCTCGATGTGATCTAACCGAGATCGTCTCTATTCTGAACCGAGCAACGATTATTGCCTTTTGTTGTCCCGAAACTCGTCGTCGATGAAAGATGATCTAGCGTTAGACCTCGGGGTTACTTCAACGTCCCAGGCCATCGGCATCGACTGAAAAATAAATATCATTTTCAGTTATTACTCTCAAACACTCCATCACCACAAGTTCCGACACATGTGATCCCAAATTCTCCCTACATCTACTTCTTGAAATTTAGTACTTGTGTGTGAGAAATAAAACATTTTGATGTGAATACCTTGTGAGGACTGAAAACGTCAGAAGATTCCGCAGAAGAAGATGGCGACGGCGTCGGCATCGGAGGTGATTCTAGTCGGACTGCAGAGGAAGTCTGGACGGTTGTTGGTCGAGGCATCGGCGGGGGAATCACCTGAAACCAATAGAGTGACAGAATAAAAATAAAAGAAAGGACCTGGGGAACAGGAGCGGGAGGAATTGAAACAAGCACCGGCGTTTCTTGAGGCGTCGTAACCGTCTCCGACGGCGTGGGAGTTCGAACTTGAGCTCCGAATTTCCACATGACGCAAATGTCCAGTTTTACCCCGGAATCACTGCCGTCAGCCTAGAAAAATTTTAGTAACACCTTCTGAAAAAGTTGTAGTACTACACATATTGCGATGAAAAAAGTAAAATATCGAAACTTATCACTTAAAAGAGCAATTACCTGTACGTATAAAAAACCCTTCCATCTCTTCACACCAAGTTAAAATATTTTTCTGCAAACTTGTTGAAAAGTTTTTTCAAAAAATGTAAACAATTTTCCCAATCAGTTCTTTTTTGCATCTTACTTTAATCAGGATGTATAGTTCCATAAACAAATTTGAAGTACTCAAACTTTTTCTATATCCTATAAAAAAGTTAACTTTTGCTTCTATATGAAAAATAAGCCGCAAAAGCTCGTTCCGATCAAACTTTCTGGATTAAATCTCTTGAATAATCTTTTTAGATGTTTTACCTTCTCGCACACTAATTTCATGAACTGCTACAAGTTGAAGATTTTACCTGTTCTTGAATATGGGTCAGAACTTTTCTGTCCTCTAACAAGAACAGATATCGATAGATTGGAATCAGTTCAAAGGAAATTTACTAAAAGAGGCCGATACTTTTCCGAACCGGGATTTTCCGAATCGAAATCCGAATCGATACTTTTCCGAATCGGGTGTATACTTTTCCGAACCCAAATTTAATATGCTTTTCCGAATCGGTCTTCCATTTTTTCAGGTAGAACCTTTCTTTCGATCTTCTCTTTTCCGACCGGTTCCATATAATTTTTCTCGATTGGTTTCAAGCTCTGCCGTAATTAGTCAGAGACTTCTTTTCAGATCATTCTTTCCAAAATTTCTTTTTTTATTCTGTTCGATTTTTAGTTCAAATTTGGCATCATTTGATCTATAATTTCTTTTTAGAGACCACCGAGATTAGAAATTACCTCGGCACAGAATGTGTCAAGTGCCCTGGTCTTTGCATGACTTTTTCAGATTTTCAGAATTACTTGATTTTTTTTTTCAATCAATTTATATCATCTCATTCGTTGTTTCAGTAAAAAATGTCACCGACTAAGCCTTGATCAACAACTTTTTGAGTTCTATCGATCAGCTGCCTTTAGTGAACAAGAAGTCTTTTTTGACGAGCTAGGAATATGATAGGTGGTGAAGCTGATCCCGGATGCCGTTCTCTAGGCGGGAACCTTCAAATGAGACCAAACCACTATGAGTAAGAGGTATTACGGCAAAAATCTTTCGAAATATTTTTCTGGATACTAGAACTTGCCAATTAATTGTTGAAACATTTCTAAAACGTCTTCATTTCTCGTTCAATTCAGATTTCTTCTTGTTAGAGAATTTTGAATTTATTGTCAAGGCGTTTCCCTGCATTTTGTCAAAAGGCGATTCTACTGATTCTCCCAGCCAATTTTCTGAAGATGTTTCGGCGTTTACGCTGCTGATAGTCGTTTGTGCATGAAAAATACTGCGAAAACATTATCATGACAATTAAGCTTAAATTAAGCTCCAGTTTTCAAACTTCTGATCTTCCAATAACAAGTCTTCAGAAGAAATATCATCTTTTTCAGAGCGTTACACATTTTAGACTTTACTTCGAGATACTCTCAGAGTTGAGATTGTTCCGCAGAAAAAACTTTGGTAGACGACCATGCGGAAGAAGATTTTCAAGCAGAATTTAGGCATTTAACTTAATAATACTTCGATGCAAACATATTTTGATTTCGCCTATCAAGCTGATTCTCCGAACTATACTAGTTTTATCTGAAAGTTGATAAGAGTGATGTGGCAGCGAGGCTTTGACGACGTCGTAGCGACACGTTGATGTGAAAGCAGCAAAATGCTTTGACTATATCGCCTGCGACCCGCGCGATATGGCCAACTACATTAAGGGTAAAAAACAGTTTTCATTCATTCTTTCGAATTTTTTGCCGTCATGACACGGCATTCATTCTTCACAATTTTATTACTTGTGCTTTGAAAAATTGATTATTATAAAAAATTAAGAAAAAGGAGAATTTTTACTTTTTGCCTGAACTTTTTTTAAGATTAAGTGAAAAAAATAATTTCAATTCAAACTTTAGTACATGAATTCCCTTTTCACATTATATTAATTTCAGTAAATAGAATAGTTTGTTCATATTCTAAATGTGAAGTTATCGCTCAAACTCCGCCCCGTATGCGTAGATCGAACCAATCAGAAAGCGGTCCATTTTCAGAGCGTTGTTGGGGGGCAGAGTTTGCTACTTAACATTCAAAAATCTTAACAGACTATACCTGAAATAAGAATTAGAAATATGAAAACTCCATTTCCAAAATTAGGCTGGGTCTATTTTTTCCGGTATTCATCCTTCACAATATGCTCTACTTGTTTATGAAACTTGATAGTTATAAAAAAAATAAATGAAAGAAGTTGGTTAAAAAAAATTAAATTTCATTTTTAGGCCTATATTTTTTTCTCGACAAAACGCGAAATCTGCGAATTAATTTCAAGGAAAAACTAAGATTCAATGAAATACTCATACTAACTAGTAAGAAGAGTCTAGATGTGATGAATTTATACAAAAAAATCTCCAGCATCGAAAAAAAAACAAAAAAAAACGTACTTTTTACGTAAATTGAGAAGGCGCCAAGCTTTTTAGCGCGCTACCTCATCGCTTTGGGACCCAATCTTCCCGTACACTTGGATAATTGCCAAGTTTACCTCGTTTTCGAAATTTTCATATTTACGCGGCCAAAAATAATTTTTTAATCAATCAAAATGTTTTATTTCTCACACACAAGTACTAAATTTCACGAAATAGATGTAGGGAGAATTTGGGAACATATGTGTCGGAACTTGTGGTGATGGAGGGAAGAGGACCCGCGGTCGTGTTAACCCCCCACTTGAGTAAATTGGAATAACCTTGAAGTTATTCTTTTAAAATGTCGATTATGTAGCTTTCATATTTTTGTTGGATCAAGAGTGTTTAGTTCTGTAATGTTGTTTTCAAACCATTTCTCAAGTTTAGATCTGAACTTATTTTTTTCATACTCAAATACTATGTTTCTATCCATATGATTCCAATGATTCAATACTCTTTGATTAATGAACCGGTAGTGTATGTCAGAAAGTAGAGGCCGCTCTATTTTGAGGCCATTTCCTCGCAGTTGATTCGATCTACTTCTTGTATTTTGTAAAGGGATTGGAGATGGGCACCAATAGTATCCGTAAAATGAAATTGTGAGCAGCAGTTATGTCTTTTCTTTAAACGTCTTTGCCAAAGGGTGTTTAGTCCAAGACGTTGAAGTCTTTCTTTGTAATTCATTTTAGGGAAAAAGTCTTTTAGTAAATTTCCTTTGAACTGATTCCAATCTATCGATATCTGTTCTTGTTAAAGGACAGAAAAAGTTCTGACCCATATTCAAGAACAGGTAAAAATCTTCAACTTGTAGCAGTTCATGAAATTAGTGTGCGAGAAGGTAAAACATCTAAAAAAAGATTATTCACAATTTTCATGCATTTTTTTCACAATTACATTCACGTGACCATTCATTTTTTTAAATTAGAACTAAAATGTACTCCCAGATCTCTGATGAATATATCTGTTGGAATTTTTTTGAGCCATTTATTGTGTAAGAAGGGTTCTCAGTATTGGATTTACCATATCTGACATGTATACTCTTTGAACTCGATAGGACAAGCTGTCTATCTGCTAACCATTCATAAATAGAGTTTAAATCTTCCTGAAGCTTATGTTCGAAATTTTCTATCTTTTGAACTTATCATTAATTTACAATCGTCGGCATATGTTAATAGTTCGCTGTGTTTGACTACTTTATCGATATCATTGATGTAAAGAAGAAAAAATAAAGGACCCAAACAACTACCCTGTGGTACAATCTGAAAGTACGGGAATTTCATCGGATAAAGCTTTCATTTATGCGTACCATTTGGGTACGTCCAATGAGATAGCTCTGAAACCAGGAGAGTAGCCGACCATTGCAACCATAGGATTCCAGTAAGTTCAACATTCTGCGATGTGTTACGGAATCAAAGGCTTTACTTATGTCCAGATAAATTACGTCTACTATGGCTTTTTCATACACGTTTTGAATCAAATATTTTTGCTTTTTTGAAGCAATTGCGAAACGGTATTTCTGTTGTTCAAAAATCCGTATTGGGCTTTGGATATTATGTTTTTGTTCCAAAGATGATTTCTTAAACTTCTAACGATAATGGATTCGAGTACTCTGCATGGGACACATGTTAAACTGACAGGTCTGTAGTTTTGAGGCTCACTAAGGCTTCCTTTCTTATATATAGGTCGAACTATTGACTTTTTCCATAAACTAGGCAAGCATGAGGTATCCAATGTTTTTTGGAATATCATTGATAAAGGTAGTGCCAAAGGGGCCGCTAGTTTTTGTATTATGATATTAGACAATTTATCCGGACCGGCAGAATGTAAAGGTCTAAGCTTCTTCAAACATTCGTATACGATATATGGATCAACGTTTATTTCTTCCATACTTCCAACCGAGCTCGTATTATTTATGAATGGTCTCTCATCGTCTTTAGTAAAAACTGAGCAGAAAAAATCGTTAAAAGCCTGAGCTTTCTCATTATCATCGTTGGTGCATCCATTTTTAGTCTGTATGAAAGGCGGATCAACGAATATGGTGGTCTTATTTCTAATATAATTCCAGAACTTCTTGCTGTTTGGTCCTTTATCGATAGCTTTCTTCTTCTTTTAATTCTAAAAATCTTTTGATAGCTTTCCGGTATTTCCACCAATTAGTTTTATAGGTCAATAAGTCTTCGGATTTATTGGATTTTTTATATTTTATGTAGGAATTTTCAGAGTATCTCTTCAGTTTCATTATCTCGGATGGTAGATTAGACTTTTTGATAGTTTTCTTGGGTATAAATTGATCAATTAGTGGCAAAGTTATATTCAAAAAAGTGCTGTACATTTTGTCAGCTGTGTCACATGTACTGAAACGATAATTCCAATCAATCCAAGCCAATCTTTGTCCTAAAGATTCAAAGTTTGCCTCTGAATAATCATTTACAGTAAAATGCCTTTCGATGTTAATTTTTGGATTATTTATGTTCACTTTGCAAGTGACTGTTGAGTGATCAGATAAAGGCTTTTCAATTTTTATATTTTCCACCATATTTTTCTTAGACGTGAAAATTAGATCCAAAATATTGTTTCCACGAGTACTCTGCTTTACCTTCTGCGAGAAACCCTTATCACACATTATATCAACAAAACTGCTACTCACAGAATCAGTCGACTTCAGTGTATTCCAATTTATTTGTGGAAAATTGAAATCACCCACAATTATGTGCTGCCCATCTCCAACTTTTTTGTTTATAGTTTCCAACAAGTTTGCGAACTCAACTGTGAATCGAGGGTCCCAACCAGGCGGCCTGTAAACTGATGTTAGATACCATGGATTTTGCATTTTCGAATCTGCTATTCTTATTGTTAATGCTTCAATGGATTTTGACACGTGTCGGTTCATTTCTTGACAATTGAAAGATGTGGCACATAGTGTTAAAAGACCTCCTCCTTTTCTATTGTTCCTACAAACGTAGAAACTCTGAAAACCTTTAAAATGCGTCAATAGGTTTAGGTCATCTTGTTCTGAAAGCCAGGTTTCACAAAAAACATAAAAACTCGAAAATTTTGGCTGGCACTCAAAATCCAATATATTCTTCTTACTTTTCAAACCTCGAATATTCGCTATAAAAATCTTGTGTCCACTCATTGTGGGGAGTTGGAAACCGTCTTATAGCCGCTCTCCTCCTGAACCTGCTCCTCAAATGGGGTAAATGGGGTAGGATTCTTTTTCTTGACGATGGTCAGGTCACGCACGACGTATGTATAACTTCCTTCTTTGCGATTTAGCTCACGCGCATAGTTTCTCAGACGTCTGTCCTCGGCTAGTTCTTCGTACGAAAGATCGTTTCTCGCGTAGCGGCAGAAGGAAGAAGATCCGATGGTATACTTGATGAGCCGATGGTTGTAGTCGTTTCGTAGTTTTATCTTCACTACCCGGTTTTTGTTGTCCTTCCGTTCTCCGTGGCGCCAGACCTTCTCAACGACGTCAGAAGAAATTCCTTTTGCGCCAAGGATTTCCTGGACGGCTTCTTGAAGGTTCTCGTCAGTCGACTCCGGTACACCGATCGCAACAACGGTCAGGTCTTTCTCGTGTTCTTCCCTCGAGCGAAGAGCCTTCTGTGCTTGCATGGCATAAGCAAGCGGCGACGTCATCGGTTCGTGCGGCTTCGGAGTGGAGGCGGCTTCGGCATAACTCTTCTGACGGGCGTCCGCTAGGCACTTGCGGAGCTCGGAGCAAACTTCTTTGAACTCGTGGATCACGTCAGCCTTCTCTCGGTTGTCCACTTTGAGCTCTCGGATAGTATCATTAAGAGAATTTATTTCGGCAGTCTGTTCTTTTACCTTCTGTTCCATTTCACGAAGGCGACATTCAAGCTGATCCTTCGTTGTACGACTGGCCATTTTGATAGTCGACCTCTTCCAATGAAGTGAGAAGCGTGGAATGAAGTGAGAAGCGTGGAATGAAGTGAGAAGCGTGGAATGAAGTGAGAAGCGTGGAATGAAGTGAGAAGCGTGGAATGAAGGTGTTTTTTCTACTTTTCTTTTCTTCTCTGATTGCATCCTTATAAATTACTCTTCTACTGTGAAATCACTCGAAGTTATTGATGCTAAAGTGCTCCTTACTGAAAAAAAAAAACAGATTTGGCCTAAAACTTTGGAAATTATATGATTGTTTTTTTTCAGCTTTTAAGCCAGATATTATATCTACTAGAATTATTACAACGGGAAAAGTGAAATTTTTATGTTTTAAAGTTTGAATTTGAATTATTTTCCACTTATTCCCAAAAAAAAATTTAGGCAAAAAAGTTATATTTTTACTTTTTTTTTCATTTTTAAATTAATGAAGCTGTTCAAACTCAAGTAATAGAATCGTGAAAATTGAATTCCATGATCTGACGGCTTGAATTCGAAAAAAAATTGTTTTTACATCCAACGTAACTGACCATATCGGAGGCGATATAGTCAAAAATCTTACGGCTATTGCGTCAACGTCTCGCTACGACCTCGTGAAAGCTTCGCTGCCAAATCACTTTCCTTCTCCCTCACTTTCAAAACTCTTCAGATAAAAACTACTGATGTTCAGTAAAACAGCTTGGTGGGGAGCTCAAATGCCTAATTTCTGCTTGAGATCCTTTTTGTCGCGTGACCGTCTGCCAGGGCTTGTACTGCCAAAAAATATGAAAGTATTTCGAAGAAAAATCGGACCTGTAACGCTCTGAAAAAAATGAGACTTCTTCTGAAGACTTGTTATAAAAATTATTTAAAGATCTGAAAGTTTGAAAATAGGAATCCTTTCTCACGAGCCGTGAAAAGATTTTTTCTAAGCTCTGAAAATTCATCTGTATATAGCCTATTCCGCGCCAGCTTGTCACGTTTTTCTTTCCTCCAAAAAGACCGTTTACCAAATTAGATCAAATTTCTGCTTTTATAACGGCAAGAAGCTCTTATTAAAGGCGCATGTATGACCGCCATGAGCTACCATCGCCGCGCAAGTTAAACCGCCCGTTCGCTGTCCCAAGTTTGCCGTGAACGGGCTATATCCGGCGGTTGAAAGCTATTTCCTGCCAAGCTCAATTTTCATGATAAATTTTTCTAAAATAATCGCATGCTGACAATATGTAGAAATAAAAAACCTTGGCAATAAATTCAAATGGTTATAGAGGGAAGAAACCTGAACCTGATATTTAACAAGAAATTATAAGTTTTAAAAAAATTTTCAACAGTTGTATCAAAAGTTTTATTTTCTAGAAAAGATTGGAAAAAATGAAGGCCAGAAAGATTTTTGCCAAATTGGACTGAAAAATTTACGTGTTCACTCTTCACAGTGCTTGCTATCCTTTCAAGGCTTCCGCCCAGAGAACGGTCTCTGGACTTCAGCTACAACATCGATTGTACTCGGGGCTTGCAACTTAATGAACTACGAACAGAAGAACGAAGCGAAGGATCGTAAAAGAATCCATTGAACTCTATCGAACACAAAAATGAACTTCTAGTTCGCCAAATGGCAGCTTATCGATATGACTCGAAAAAATATTGCTCAAAGCTCAGCCGATGAAATTTATGGGAATGAAAAGTAAAATTCAGAAAATTCTGAAAATCTGAAAAAGTCATGCAAAGACCAGGGCACTTGACACATTCTGTGCCGAGGTAATTTCTAATCTCGGTGGTCTCTAAAAGAAATTATAGATCAAATGATGCCAAATTTGAACTAAAATCGAACAGAATAAAAAGAAATTTTGGAAAGAATGATCTGAAAAGAAGTCTCTGACTAATTACGGCAGAGCTTGAAACCAATCGAGAAAAATTATATGGAACCGGTCGGAAAAGAGAAGATCGAAAGAAAGGTTCTACCTGAAAAAATGGAAGACCGATTCGGAAAAGCATATTAAATTTGGGTTCGGAAAAGTATACACCCGATTCGGAAAAGTACGATTCGGAAAAGTATCGATTCGGATTTCGATTCGGAAAATCCCGGTTCGGAAAAGTATCGGCCCTAAAAGACTTTTCCCTAAAATGAATTACAAAGAAAGACTTCAACGTCTTGGACTAAACACCCTTTGGCAACGACGTTTAAAGAAAGACATAACTGCTGCTCACAATTTCATTTACGGATACTATTGGTGCCCATCTCCAATCCCTTTACAAAATACAACAAGTAGATCGAATCAACTGCGAGGAAATGGTCTCAAAATAGAGCGGCCTCTACTTTCTGACATACACTACCGGTTCATTAATCAAAGAGTATTCAATCATTGGAATCATATGGATAGAAACATAGTATTTGAGTATGAAAAAAATAAGTTCAGATCTAAACTTGAGAAATGGTTTGAAAAACAACATTACAGAACTAAACACTCTTGATCCAACAAAAAAATATGAAAGCTACATAATCGACATCTAAAAAGAATATTTTTCATGGTTATTCCAATTTACTCAAGTGGGGGGTTAACACGACCGCGAGTCCTCTTCCCTCCATCACCACAAGTTCCGACACATATGTTCCCAAACTCTCCCTACATCTATTTCGTGAAATTTAGTACTTGTGTGTGAGAAATAAAACATTTTGATTTGATTTAATTGAAATCCATGAAAACTGACCAAAAGCATCGGGAATGACCCCTTGATAGCCCCGTTTCTGGCCAACGGCGTCATCGGAAGCATCAAACTTGAGAGTACCCCATCGCCTTGACCCGCGTTCTCAACCAAGTAGAAGGAGACTGTCTGAAAATTATTTGTTCAAACTAATGCATTTTCCAAACAGTTCCTTCTCAAGAACGGTCTTGAAGGCGTTTGATCTAAGTGTAAATTCAAAAAGAATGGCTCAAATTCTTTTCTCAATTATTTACGGCGAACTTGCTATATGGATAAAGTGTATCAAAAGTTCTTCAAATTCTCGTACCGAACACGCCCCGAAAGTTTTTGAGCATTTCTAGTGAGAACTTTAGCGGAGTCAGCACTCTTAAGTGACCCCTAGAACTGCTTAGAAACGTTCGGGGCGTGTCCAGGGGGCGTCATCAAGGTTCTAGTTTCTTTTTTATTTCAATTAACCGCTTCTATCCAAATAACAACCTATTCAGATAAAGTTAGGAAATGTGAGATCGAAGGAGAAATAAATTTTGGAGATAGGACTCTTTAACGTAAAAACATGTTAATTTCGCGTTTACTCAGAAAAAAAAAATTATCTACAGTTTTTTCCGGACTTTTTCAAAAAGAACTTCAAACGGAATAATTAGAAAATGAGCCTTCTTGTCAAAAAAATACTCCCTCTAAACTTTTAAAATCCAATTTTCACCGAGTGAGCCAACTGCGACGTATCGCTCTTGGGAATGAGCCAATCGCGTTTCGAAGAAAACTCGGCGGTCGACGATGACGTAACGAAATCGGTAAAGTACGGCGAGAAGGAGAGCAACTCGTAGACAATACACGTTTCCAAGTTGCCTGCAAAGCTTTGAATTTTGGAACACAGAGGCGTTTGGGAAAAACCTCGACCCAAACTTTGGAGTCCTGTACATCTGTTGACATTGACAGTCAGCTGTTCAAAGTTTTCCGCGGCCGACAAAGTTGATGGTATTTCCAAAGGCAGGAGGAGCTTCTGGGCTTGTTCACTTCTCTTCAAATCAAAAAGGATAGTAGAAAAGACATAACTATGAAGAAAGCGGTGTAAATCAATCAACCATATCTAAGTCATTACCAAAATCGGACGCGCCACGGACTTTTTTTCAATATTTCTAGTAATCCCTAAAGAGCGCTGATGCCGCTAGAGTGTCCACTAGACTGAGAAAAAAAATTTAGTGACTACTTAGAAGATTTCTCAAGGATTACTTGGAGAGTACACTAAAGTGACCAGTAGAACGGCAAAACCCTGAAGTGGTCCCTAAAAATTTCTAGCAATCAATAAAATGGGTTGATGCCTCTGAAGTGACCTCTAGACTTTGAGAAACTCTAGTGGCTGCTTTAAAAATTTCTCAAGGACGACTTTACAAGGAAATTAAGGTGGCCACAAAAGTTTTTAGCAAGGATCGCTCAGAATAGTCTGATGCCCGCCCGGTTTGCGTTTATGAGATCCGAGTGTATATGATCTTTTTTCGGATTAGCGCACATTATCTTTTTTTTTCTTAATTCGACCAATAAAAATCGACTTCGGCTTTCCATTACGATAACATTTCGAGTACCTATCCGTCTTGAAAGTCACAGTTAGAGGCTATTGTGATTTTGAGCTTGAAAGGTGCAAAACCATGAGAAAAAAATAATAAAATAATGAAATTTTCGCCTTGAAGTGTTTCCAGTTTTTTCCATGGTTTTCCGATCCCTGTATGTTTTTTTCTGCTTTTTCATTCCAGAATGCTTTTAACTCTTGAATACGCACCTGGAAACTAGAAAACCGTTCCGTCAAGTCTTTGGCGACGTCGATTTCATATTTCAACTGCGCCACCTTTTCACCAGTTTCGAGCGACTTCAGAGTCAATTCGGCCGAGTACCTGGGTTCATTCATCATTATAAGTCCCCTTCCGATAGTCGTGCAAACTTCCTGGAGCTTTTCTCCTCGAGAAGCGACGTCAAAGTGACGACACCGACGGCCAAAAGCTCATAGGAAGCCCCTTGAGGTCGGTACATTTCGATGGTGATTCCACTCTGAAGAATCCTTGTTAGTTACAGTAGAAAATGTGTTTCGAGACTTTAAAATATCGTTTTGTAGAGTTTTCTCTCGCGTTTTCAGTTATTCATTTCAAATCGTACATAAATCTTAGTTTTGGAGCAATTAAAATAAGCAGAAAACGGTGTTTGCACAACTGTTTAAAGTATTTTCTTACGTGAACTTGTGAACGTGTCATTAAAATAGTCATTTCTGTTAGATATTCGTGGATTTGCTCCCAATCAGTGTGTACAAAAAAAAAACTTTACCATTCTATCTCAATCGATAGTTTTCAAGATAAGAAGATTTATGATGAGAACAGAAAAAATTATAAATCGTAAAAATAAAAAAAGAAAACTTAGGGATTCCAGAGTGGTCCCTATAGGGGTTAGGGGATCAAACAGCCCCTATAGGGGCCGAAAAGTGGTCCCTATTGGTGTTTAGAGTTTGACTCCTTGAACCCTAAAACTCAAGTGGTCCCTATAGGGGTATCTCAACTTCGTTCGAAAAACGCTTAATTATTCAGCTTTTTGCATGGAAAAGTTTATAACAATTATCGAGCAGTAGGTCCCCTATAGGGGCCCCTGACTTAAACCCCTGTAGGGAGCACTTTTGCAAGCTTTAGTGCTCATATAGAGGTTGGTAAAGTCATCCCTAGAGGGACCCTAAGGTTGCCCCTGTAGGGACCACTCTGAAGAAAGTTAGAGATTTTAGTAACCCGTTTTATTATTTGGCGCAAGATTGCACATTTTTTGAATTTTTTGGGTCTAAAATTCAGCATTTCAAATTCTTTTTCTGGAATCACTGACATTTGTTCAGGCTACAGTATACACTCCGAAACGTGATCAAGATCTCCTAAATGGACATTTTGTCAGTCACAAACCCCCATTTTCAACCATCTACGACTTTGAAATAGATCTCCAACTACCGTCTGCAGATAATGAATGAAGAGGTTGGACACGACGACGCTGTAGACGGTGGTGAAATCGAGTGGCTGATTCTTGGGCGCCAGAATCGGCGTCGTTTCGAGTTGGAAGTCGAAGAACTCCAGGGAGAAGAAGAACGACGAGGCGACCGATTTGGACAAGGAGACTTGGGTAAGTTTGATGGAGAGCTGAGTGGAAAGGTCGTTGGGGATGACGTCATCGACTCGCAAGGGTAACGGCTTCTGGCCGCTGTAGGCGATGGTTCGGATCTGCTCCTCGAGCTGGAAGATCTTCTTTTGCTTCTCCTCCAGCTTCTCTCTCGTCTCCAGCATCTTCTGCTCGCTCAACGTCTTCACCCGCAAAACCTCCTCGTTCAGAAGTCTGATCTGGAAAAACAATTTTGTTTTAATCGTTTATCACCTCTTTCGATTAGATAATTAGTTTGAATTAATTTTTATGACTTGACTCAAAAATAAAATCTTTTTCAATGTTAATAAGTTTTTTCTTTTTGAGGAGAGCTTTTTTTAAAAGTAACGAAACAGCTAAGACTTTGACCACTTATTTGATTTTAAAAAAACCCTTGAAAATAAATTTCATTTTCATACCTCAGAGGCCTGCTTCTGGGTGATATTGTGCTGGATCAAGAGCAAACTTCGGACTTTTTCCAGTTCCTCGTAGAGTTCGGCGTATAACTTTTGCCACCTGAAAAGTCCCAAATTTCATCAGAAAGAAAAGAAAATGACGGACTTTGCGACGTTCTGAGAAGTTTCGCTGACAAGATCATCCGTCGTCATGTCGTGAGCGCTCAGAATACCCGCCACGTCGTTGTAAAGCCGCGTCAGAAGGTCATCGTCGTTCTGAAACTGGGGAAAATCTAGCTGAAGACGGTTTTTGCAAACTTTCTTGTTTTTCGATGACCTCTTCTTCAATTCAGGCTCTTCATCTTCATCTTTCGGTGTCACTGGTTGAGGAGGTTGAGGTCTGAACTTATTGAAAACTTGAAAAAAGAAATGGTCCAAAAAAAAATCAAATGGCTTTTTCCTTATAAAACTGTTTTCTTAACGTTTTTGGTCAATTTACTAGTAGACAAGAACATTTTGTTTAACCGCAAAAACTCCAACGAGATGGTCAAAATTAAGTTTGAAAAAAAAATGAGACGACCTTATTTTCCAAATTACGGCTCATTTTCGAACTTTGACCTTTTTCTAACCGTTTGGGAAAAATTCAAAAAGTCAGTGCTATTAAAGGATCATCGTCGCGCCAAAAAACAAAAAAACTACACACGATGGGGGCAGAGTTAGCTGTTTGAAATTTAACATTTGAAAATTCAATAAAAATGATTTACGTGATCGGCAAAGGCGTGGCGGCAGCATGACGATCTTGCCGTGCTCGCTGCCTTTTCCATTCTTCAAAGTTTCGATGCTCCTCTTTACGACGTCGCTCGGCTTCCTGCAGTCGCCTCTCAGTCTCCTTCACCTTCTCCTCGAGCACGACAATCTGCTTTTTGGCCTCGACTTGGTCTTTGGCGCCAATGTCAAAGTCGCGGGAGAGAGACCTGAATACCGAGAAACTCTACAAAGGAAAGGAAATCGTGACAAACTGTTGGACGAGCCGCTCGTTGGCGTCTTTCAGGACCTGGTTCTCGCTTTGCAGAACTCGTAGGTCCTGCTCGGCGACCTTCAAACGCGATTCGAGTTGCTTCTCCGCGGATCCTTTCCTCGTCGTCGTCTCAGACTTGATCACCTCGATCCGCCGCTCTTTTTTGGCCTTTTTCGGCTTCGGCTTTGCCTTGAGTTCGCTGCCGAAGCTTGCATTGGAGAACTCGGAGAGTATCGATTGATTGTCGTCGCTCAACGAGCTCGGCGTGGACGGAGCCCGAGAAGACGAGGCTTTCTGACGGTCATCTCGAAGCTCGTTCAGTTGCTGTCAAATTCGTTGCTTTTTGAGTCAAAGCGAAAAAGATGAAATTGCTATAATATCAGAGGTTCTGGTAAGATGAAAGACAAAATTCATGAAGATAACGGAAAAAAAGCCGATTTTGAGTGTTTTTTTTTTCCAAGTCGTACAATCAAAAAATTTGAGATTTTTTTCTATTTTCTGCTGAAATTGTCCGTTTGCGATTGCTAAAAAAACGTTTCAAAAATTTTTCAATTTAATAAAATTCTCCTGTGACATTCTGGCTTTTTTAGCAGCTTAATACCCGAAGAAGTGGCCTGTATGCGCTCTCCACCAAACAGGCATCGTCTTTTTTCTTATCGTGTCAGAACCTATTATTTTTTTTTATGGTTCAAGCCAGCCGTGTATTAGGTAAATACTTAAACAAACGATTTACCTCATTTAACTGATCAACCGTGTACTGCAGGTCGGAGATTTGCTGATTCCGGCTTTTCAGGGTCCTGTTTAACCGGACAATCATCAACTTCTCGTCTGTCGTCAGCTGCAACATCGTCTCGCTCCTAAAAATAAAGAACAATTGTCAAAGTAGTGATTTTAAAAAAATGGTATTTGAAAAAAAAACATGCCGTGTTCATTTCGGCAATTTAAAATTGACGTTTTTTTTCTGTTCAAAATATTCACGCTTAATTGGCATTTGGGAGGCATGAAAAAATAAATAGGCTGCTGAAACGGGATTTAACGCGCAAAATTCAAAATTTTGAATTCAACCAAAAATGTGAATACGCGCGTAAAAGTCGCCAATTTTTCTAACTGTCCCCGAAATTCAAATTTAATGTATTTCGCGTGATCATTTCAAAAAACATCACGTCAATTTTGAAATCGCTAAATGTATCATTTCCGCGACACGTTTCGAGACAAAATATCAGTTTATATTTTACTAAATTTCAGATCGTTTCAAAAACTCGAAAAAAAATTTTCTCGCTGAATCCCTAGTAAATGTCAATGGTGAACCTCACTACCAATCAAAAAAAATTCAAAATTACTTTTTCTCATCTTTCTGCGTCTCCTCGTTCACCGCGGTCACGGGCTGCCGTCGCCAAGTCGGTTGCGGTCGGAACGTTGATCTTCCCTAAAGGAGTTTTGAAGTGAATGTTCAGAAGTACGGTAAGTTACAGTGAGAGCAGAGGCGGTGGCCGCACGAGCTGATGGTGCCGTGTAGACCAGCAATTGGTGTTTTGCGGCTTTCAACTGAAATTTGTAAGTTTACTGCTTCAAAAAGATGCCGTCTTCGGCGTAGAGATAATCTTTAAGAATTTTTAAAGCGACACTATTTCGAAACAAAAAAACCTTCATGAGAAGGAGTTTATTTTCCTTGACGACCTCGTCGAACTTCTCCCGACCAACGACAGTATCTTCCCGCACTTTTCGCTCCAACATATTCCGCCGCAAGCGAGTGTTGAATCTACAAAACCGAAGAATCTTTTTATAACTTTATATGACTTTTTTGACGGATTTTAATCTCTTTTTTGACCGAAAATAATCTATTTATCCTTTACAAGCATCTTTACGAAAAGAAAAATACCTCATGATCACTAAATTTTTTCACGTCCGGTCACGTTTTGAAAGCACATCGTAAATAAAGCTACCATAAACACAGCTTTTTCTCCATTTTTGCTCACCAAAACTTCGAGAAGGACAGTAAAAAACAAAGATCTTGAAGCGAAATGCGGTCTAATTTGTTATCTAATTTGGTATTTTAACAGAAAAAAATCGTGACAAGCCGTCGCGGAATGGGCTATAGGAAGGTAAGTTGCTAGAGCAGATCGAGAACGTGGATCTCTAAATTATGCCCAGAATTGGAAGTCTCAAAGACTGCAGTGGCATCCCGCCATTGGCAAGACCAATCGGTCAACAGTAACAGTGGGGCGCTCACAGGTCAAAATACAATTTTGTTGGAGTCTCACACCCAACAGCACCCTTTCAGTAGCGTCAGCGCTCTTAAGTGATCCCTAGAATTGCTCAGAAACGTCCGGAGCGTGTCATGTTTTCGTTACCGAGACACGGAGAATTGAAAAAAGGTATGAGAATAGGTATTGAATTTCAAAGTTCAATTTTTTTTTTTCTGAAAACTGGATTTGAAAAGAACTGACTGCAAGAGCTGCTTCTCCAACTCGCGGTTCTTTTTGTGGGAAGCTTGGAGTTGGTCGAAAACATTGTGGTAGTGATCCTCGAGCTGCGGCCGGGTCCACGTCTCGATCGGCGGCCGTAGCACCATTCCAACTTCTTATTCCATTCTGAAGAAGGTCATCCAGATTTAAAGAAATACATGGTCAGACCATTATCGAAGGCCGCCAAACCCCCGAAAATAAAAAATGAAACACTTTTCAAAGAAAGTATGGAGGAGAAAAAAAAAGATTTCTTGAGAATTTTCACGGAAAAATTCGTTGTGCTAAACAAATACTGTTCAAAAAAAAAAATAAATTGAAAAATAACTATCGATGCGCTTCTAAAAACTTGAATCTAAATTTAGTCAAAGAAAACAACAAAAAAGTCTTGTTTTTCAGAAAATTCAAAAAAAAAGGGGAAAATCTGGTTTCTCAACAAACGCTAATAAAGTAATAAAGGAATAAACCAGAAATTTTTTTGAAAAAAATAGGCGATTCCATCAAGCTTGAAATTTGTAGAAACAAAAAAAGCCTTCCAAATTTGAGCCAAGAAAGCCAATGAGTTAGTTGAATTAGCCCCAGGAAGAGCCAGCCAGGGGGCAGCAAAAATGGCGTCACTATGGCAACATGGGCGAAAGGTTTCTCGGGCCTTTAAAGGAGAATCGAACCAATAATTATCGCATTTACGGGACATTTTGGTTGATTGAGAGCGGTTAATGTTGGCAAACAAATTTCAAAACTTTTTTAACACCTAGATCTATTTTTGAATATCAAATCAGGTACTGTTTGCATAAAAATAAGGAAATGGTGGACAGTTGGAGTGCAAGAATTTATATATATATATAAAGAAAACATGTAAATCTTCCAGGGAATCCCGACTGATAGTAAAAACTGAGTGTTTAAGGCCCAAAAGCTTCTAAGAATTTCTGTTAAATATCCAAATCTCGATGTTCTATAAGCGATTTATCCAACTCCTGTGAGTCTGTGAGTGAAGGAGGAAATACATTCTCTTTGGATCTTTTCAATTTTCGCCAGAACATTTTCGATGAACCGAAAGATCCTGACCGACTCCAGAGTAGTCCCTATAGGAACAACCCAATTGGACCTTGAAGGTTCCTCTTTAGAGATCACTTGTAGGGATTTTAATTAGTGGACCTTATTGGGGGGCATACTAGTCGTTCATTGCTATGAACTCGATGAGATGCCGAAAATTCAAAAAGTTAGGGTTACTTTTACGAAAAATATTCACAGACTTGATCAAGTATTTCTTCCTAATTTTCAAATATGAACAAAAATTAAAAGACCCTATAGCCACCATTTGAGCTTTGGGTCAGACCCTAAACCTTTATAGGAACCATACCATCTTTACCCATTTAGGGGGCACATTTTCGTACCCAAAGTTCAAAATAGAAAGACTCCCATTAGCCATCAAGTCTCTAATTAACTTGAGACATCCATTTTACGTCTATTAATAAACTAAAGGGGCAAGTCACGCGGTTTTTCAAATTGTTTTCAACCTTCGTATAGAAGGGTTTATAAAAGACATGTATATATAAGTAAATAACTTTATTTTTCATCCACTGTTGAGCTCACCATTCTCACGACCTCCTAACAGTTAACTTTATGTATTTTATTTGAAGCCAACCTTTCTGGCATCAAATCTGAGGATTCAAAAAGAAAAACTCGCTAGGGAACGTTTTTTTTGTTGTTTTTTTAAGATCCCTAGTCAGCTTTTCTTTGAATAAAACTTTCAAAAATCGAAAAATTTCCAAAACGGAATGCATTTCCAACTCAATGGAAACAATCAGAAGTTTCACGAGATATTAGGAAAACTTTTGATGTCCACTTTATGGTTTTGACGTTTTAGTGGCCACTGTAGTAGTCTAATTAGTGGCCAGTTAGGTGGCTAAAACCCTTCCAAGCAGTCCTTGTAGAACCTTTCAAGTGATCACTAAAGTTCATTCCCAGCAATTCGAAGGGACCTTTACTGTAGTTTTTTTTCAATAAAGTTTGATCTGGTCGCTTCTTAAGAAACTTTTTATTCTGATTTTAGGTCGGTCCACTCAGAGCCTCATTTTTCTAAATAGAAAGATAATGTCGAATAACACCATCAGATGTTTCTCTAATCGATTTTTGGAGCATTCCGCAATGTGTTGCGTAAGAGGAGCCTCTGACCTAGGTCAACGCCGATCCAGCGTCCTCATGCCGTTTATCGCATTCCAGTTGCCTAACACTTTTTTTAGGATATGTGTTTATTACTTGAAATTTTGCTTTCCTTCCAGAATGAAAAGAGTTTCAAGAACCCTAGTATGATTTGATAACCAAAGTCTTATTTTCAAATTTTTCCAGCTTTTTCCGACCAACTCCATTTTTTTACAAAAAATTAATACAACTGATGGATTCTATAACTCATTCACTGTTAATTTGAATTTAGGAACGCCCTTATGGTTCCTGTAGAAGTTTTAAAAGGTATCTCTTTAGAGAACACTTCAACTTCCATTATAGGGGACACTAAAGCTTGCAAAAGTGGCCTCTACAAGGGTTATAGACCATCTAGGGATAGTCGCTTATTGCCAGGAACTCTATGATAGGAAGCCGCGGCTGTTTTTGTCCCTAGCCCCTATAGGGACCACTCTGGCGTTCCCAGGGATATGAAGATTCTAGATAGACTTGAAAACATTCTTCACTCGCGTTACATGTCGCTAAAGTTTGAAATCTTCTCACTTAATTTATTTTTTCAACCTCAGAGTTCTACCCGATTTCCGACTAAACGTTATCCTAATTTATTTATTTGCAGATAAATGGTGCTTGTTCCACGCTTTTGTTGCTTTTGGTGAGCATTTTTTCTATTCAAATTGAACCTTGGATTTGAAAAAAATGATGGTCGCACGTGGAATGGCTCGACACGAATGCAAGCCATTCTATGCGCGACAATGGCGTTTAAAATCGAAGAAAAAAGTTTTTTCAGCGGCCAAAAATCATCTTTCTCGTCCTTGTTCGCTAAAACAGGTCAGTTTCAAAAAAAAACTATTGTTCTTCAATTTTTGAAGAAGATCTATGCGTTTGCGAGGGTCGTCAAATCAGAAATCCATTTGTAAGTTTTTGAATTCGGGAAATATTTCCTGATTTTCCACGTCAGAAGCTCAATCCATTCACTGTTATCGAACAAAAAAATTTAAAGGAGCCTGAACCTAGGGACCGCAAAGCCACGCCCCTTTTCGCGATAGAAAAAGTGGCTTTTTTTTGGTTTTCAACTTTCATTTTGTTGTAGTTGCAAAATATGTGGAACTGGCTTATAAAATTTGACACAAATGTACAGAAAAGCTTCCTCTTTCGTTTAAAAAATATTTCACGCTTTTTTGATGCGTTCGCGCGGAATGTCGTACAAAAAAACGTGAATGGAACTAAAAAAATTTTGTCGTTTTTTTGCTTTTTTTCATGTGTTTTTTTAGGTCGAACGCACTCTTTCTTTTTTTAAATAATGATTTTGATTCAAGTAACGGTAATTTTAAAACAATAAAAATAAAAAAATTCGTCTTTGCCAAAAAAATTTTTAGGGAGCGCCGAAAAGTCATAATTCAAAAATATCGTTAATAAGCGAATATAATCGAGTTTTTTTGTTTTTTTCAAAAATTTAGGCCATGAGCTTACTTAAATTTTTTTCTCCACAGCATCTGTGCTTGAAAAAAAGTTGTTTGATACGCAAAAAAATGCTCTTGAAAAATAGAGAATAAAATTAGCGGCGTTTATCACACAGAAAAACGGTCGAACGCAGGTTTTTTTAAACGATTATATACATTTAATAGTAAAAAAATATTTCAATTAAAAAGAATAAAATAAAAAAATTCGTCTTTGCCAAAAAAATTTACGGGGCCGTTTGAATGCAGCGATCGTTAAACGAGGCAAAAAAAGCACTAATAAAACAGTTTTTTTTCGAAGGGAATTTCCACGGAAAGTTTGAGTAAAAAAATTTGCCAACATACTCTGTTAAAAAAATAGCTAAATTACTTCAAAAATTTTATTTTTTTGAAGTAGGCAATCTAAGCTATCCAAACGGCTCAAGGGTATGGCGGATGGAAGCTCCCCTCGCTAGACCTAACAGCTTGGCGCAGCGCGTGCGCTCCGATTTTTCATTTTGAGGTCGCGAGTTCGATGCCTGCAAGCGTCAGTTTTTTGTTTTCTGGAAAATACCGACTTTTTCGGCAAACTAGCAAATTTTTATCATTTTAGCACTCTATTATGATTTGTTACATCATAATAGACCAGTATCAAAACTTGTTCTAGAAGAAAAATCGAGAAAAATGTCAAAAATGGATAATACCAAAATTTCAGTACTAAAAAAATGGTGCGCGGCGCGCCACATTTTTCGTCATAACTTTTTTCATCCTCAATCTTTTTCGAAAAACTAAACGGTTCTGAGTTTTAAATCGAAACAGCTATCAAACCATACAAAGCTCATTGCAGAAAAAAACTTTTTGAAAATTCGTCTGCGGTCCCTACCTGAACCTCTTTATTTTGCATACTATTTCGCTATCGAACAATTCACTGAAATTTTTCAGTCTAGAGACAAGAGAACCAAGTTATGACAGAAAATGCACGAAAAGAGCGTTTTTCTGATCAAAACTTTCTTGTATGGAGATTAATCTTTTTTGGAATTTTCTGGAGTTGTGATGAGCGTTATTTGCAACACTCTGGTAAAACTTCAGTTCGTGGAAAAAGCGCGGTTTCAGAAAAATTGAGCTCCGCAGTTGGCTAAAGATTTATTTCGCAACTTTTCTCGCGGTACGGTATATCTCAACAATCTCAAAATTCGCTTTTCACTACTCATCCATATTATTTGGATATTCGCTGTGAAGAAACTTAACTTTTGAAGACCGAAGAAATGCGATTGGGCAAGATATCGATGATCCTGGTACAACTTCTCCATTCCGGCCTCCACTCAGATTTTGACGTTTTTGTTGGAGAAAAGAGGATCGGAATTCACAAAAGCATTGTGGCTTTCAAGTATGATCTTCTTTCTTGTTGATTGTATTGGCCGAAAAATGGCTATAGAAAAATCCTCTAGCAGCTTTTTTTCTTGAAATGGAAACCTGAGCTTGTACAGCAGACAAAGGAGGGCTCCCTGTAGAGGTGAAATTAAGGAGGCCCCTAGAGGGGTTCAAGGTCTGACTCCTGAGCTTCTGGACCTTAAGTGGTTCCTACAGCGGTCTTTTTAATTTTCGTGAGATTTGAAAAATAAGAAGAAAAATTTTTGATCGATTTAGTTCTCTGTTGATATTTTTTTCATTTGAAAAGCTCAAAATTTTTGAGATTCTAGTGGATTATAAAACATTAAAAAAATTCTGCCCTGTAGCAGCCACTAACGAAACCCCTATAGTGGTCACTTTTACAAGTTTTAGTTGCTCCTTTAGAAAGAGGTAAAGTGGTGCTCAAAGGGGAGTCTTCAAGGGCTCCTAAGGTTGCTCCTATAGGGACCACTCGGACGTTCGGAAGTTCACAGCCTTTTTTTGAACTTTAAATTATTTGGTCGCATTTGGAATGGCTCAAGGCGTCTTACCCCTCAGATTTTCTTTTTTCAATCTTCCAATTAAACGCTTTGAGGCCTTCATAAAATCATATTACAGATCTGAGTTCTTCGCCTCCATGTTCAGACACACGAACACCAAGGAGATGATGACGGTACAAAAAACGAAAACTTATATAATTTATCGTTTCTATTCTAGGGCCGTATAGACATCATGGACGCGGATTATGAAGACGTCTTCGAAATGTTCAGGTGCTTATAAATTCTAGACATTAGGGCAAAATCTGATACAGAAAAAAAACAGAGATAAAAAAAGAAGCGAAAGTTTTCGAGCGAAGCGAAAATAATTTGAAGTCTTTTCCGTCAATAAAGTTTCAAAAAAAATATCATGACTTCATTATTTTCTCGAGATACGGTGAAATGCTTTTTAAAAAAGTCATATAACGGTGGAAAATAAACAAATCTCATTCAAATTTCGTCACAAGGTGTGAAATAATTTTCTTCAAGTTTTAACGATCTTGCATCTAATGCTTGCTCATTATTGCTCATACTATCCTTATTGATTCTGTAAATGTGATCTTCTAAAAATATAATTTTTTCCTGATCTGGAAAAGAAAAATGAAACCAAGTTAATAAAATGAAATTCCTTCAATCTCGTCGCGAAACGTTCCAGTAAAATGGAAAACTGAACTCTTCTAATTTTCAGTCCAAAGCCTGAAATACAAAGGCATTATCTGTTTGGAATTTGTCTTCACATACAGATGGATTTACAACGGACCGATTCCGGAGGACGTGGACAAAATCGGGAAGCTCATGGAGCTCGCCGACCGATTCCTTGTCGAAGATCTTCCGAAGGCTTGCGAGGCGAAGTTGTATGAAAAACTGAAGGCCAACATCTACAACAACGCCTGCAAAGTGCTCATGATTGCTCATCGAATGGATCTTAAACATCTGCGAGAAAAGGCCATCGTGGTAAGATTTCCAACCGTAATGGTTTTGCCAAATGCTCCGGTCGCCTTAAACTTAAGACTAGCAAGTACAAAAAGGAGGAATAAATCTCCAAATTTGAAAGTTCCATTCATTTTTTTTTTTCACTAAATAAAGGATAATTTTCTTCGAATAAATCAACCAAATCATGAAAAAGTGAAATGGTGTTTGAAAAAAAAAGGAATTCAGGCGTATCTTTAATATTTTTGTTGAAATTAAATATGTTCAATTGAAGAAGTTACTTTAAAACCGAAAAATATTCTAATTATGAAAAAATTCAGGAAGCCATGAAGCTAACTCTTTCCAACACTCCGGGTGGGAAAGAAATCTTGGCTCACGATGTGCTGCGAAAAGAAATTGGAATACGTCTTTTCAAAAGCTTCGAAGACAGGATCGAAGAACTTCCTATGGATCTCCGGCGTCCCCTCATATTGATCAAGCAAGCTTTGGAGTTGTGATTTTTGAGCAAAATTAATCCAATGAAAAACAGCCATTTTTAGATCTCCGACCGGATTTTTAAAGTTTTTTTTACGTTGGTTATAGTCTGTCCAGGTTTTAAATGTCAAATCCTCGCTCAAGCTCCGCCCCCTAATGGAAACCAATCAGAGATCGATCCATACACAGAGCGTTTTTGAATGACGTCCTTCTACTTGATATTGAAAATCTGAACGGACTGTACAAGAGAGCGCTAAATACGAAAATACCAACAAACTGGAAAACTCCTGTGAAAGTTCCCCTCTAGGGATCCCTTTTCCTCTTCTTATAGAGGCAACGAAAGCTTGTATGTAAGAAATTTTTAGAAAAATTATAAAAATTTGGAGAAAAAAACGCGAGTCTTTTTAATTTCCACTCATCATCATTTTTTTCACTCCAATTTTTTTCCGTTTTTTTCCCAACTTTTTGACGCGAATTTTTCTGTTCCAATTTTTTTGATTTTGTTCTACAATTTTTTAAACTTGTATTCCGATGTAAACTTCGATTATTTGGTACCTTTCACTGGTAAAATAAATAAATTATGGCATCATAAACGCTTACAAAAAGAAATCATATGTTTCCCTGACGAAATACGTTACATCAAGATTACAAATGCAAAAATTGTTCTTTCTTAACAGTACTTCGGAAAAAAACTGTAGTTTGTCATTTTGAAAATCATTCAAGCTTTTTTTATGACAAATCAAAGAAGGTGAATGCGAAAATCATATTTAAAAATAATAAAAATCAAAAAAAGCTTCTTCGGTAGCCATTCCATGTCATTTAGATTAACAAATGGCTATTTTTTGAGTTTCGATACAATTTTTTGGGTTTTTTTCCCTTCAAACTTCAGTTAGCAGTATTCTGAATGATATAAGCGTCAGCGAAAAAAATGTTCTCCAATAAGTTTTTTTCGTAAAATTAATTTCAATGTAAAAAAACAACTTTTTGCAACACCCTGGAGCTTCCTACGAATTAGGGTTGAGAAAAAAACAAACGAATAAAAAAAGGATTTTGAAAAATATTTCAAACGCGCAGTCGTTTTGGGTATTACTGGTTATAGTACTGAATAAATAAATTCTGCAAATATAAACAGAAATAAGAAAGAAGAAAAGATGTAGGCTTTGAAACATTTATTCGCTGGAACATACACGTAAATTGGCATTTTACAACAAGAACAACAATGACAGAAGAACAGAGAGATACATGGGCTGAATGGCCGATTTGATGAGGGGATCGGGAAGTAGAACAACGGTGTCGAGGAGATGTTCGAAGGCGGCCCGAGGTTCGACTACGAGTTCTGGAGCGGCGACGGGAAGGTCTCTAGCCACTCGGAAACTGTGTCGGACGGCTCGTTTCGTCTTGTTGGAGCACGTCGGCAGCTGAAAATGGCTAGAGTTCGTTTTCATAGTACTCTTGAAACTCACCGGACACTCATCGGCAGGCGATTTATCGAGCAACCTGACGTCACATTTGAAGTAGACCGAGCTGCGATCGGCGAATTTGAAGACTTGTGATGTCGCGACGGCGCGAAGGGGACTCGTGTATCTGATGGGCGACAGAAGCTCTCCGTCCATCGAGCATCTGAATTCAAATTATTTTTACTCAGGCGAATCTGGGGAAGGTAATCTGGAAATGGAAAGCAAGAAGGTCTTGAGAAGGTCTTTGGAAGATTTCCAGAAATATTTACCTCTGCTTATCTTCCAGCAAGCTTCTGGCAGGTATGTAGAAGGAGTAAGGAAGCAAAAACTTCAAAATTCCAAGTAACAGAAAGCATAAGTTTTCTTACTCCTTTCCAGTTCCAAATTGAGGATCGATTAAAGTCATGGCCAAAAAGCAGTGGATTTTTTTGCTTCAGCTCAAAATAATCAGAAAAGTAGGTGTTGTAACATTATATACTGCTCACATTTTTTTCTTTTCAAACTTTTAAGCGCAGCCATGATAAAGTATAAAAGAGAGTTCTTAATTTACTAAAAAAACATATATTGATTAATGGCAGACGTAGAGGGAAGTCGTTACAGATACCTACTTTCTCTTTAAAGTCTCTGAGGAAAACAAAATAAATCACAGAAAAAAAATTTCTGAGCGCTTACCCTTTCTCATCGACGACTTGAACTTGATTACCCTGTCCATCGTTGGCCATGCAGTTGTGAACCTTAATATTAATTTTTTTTTTCTATTAAAGAAAACATTCAACTTCTTTGACCTCGGTAACGAAAACAGACACGCCGCGGACGTTTCTGAATATCTCTAGTTATCACCTAAGAGTTCCGGCACTGAAGTGATCCCTAAAAAAGCTCAGAAACGTCCGATTTGCGTTATCGAGGTCCGAAAAGCTGTGTCCCGAATTTCTTCCTACCTGCATGCAATAAACATCCGTCGGAGCGTTTCCGTCGCAACTCCAGACGTGAACGACCGATTCTCCGAGTTGGGCAAAGGAGACGCTGGCCGTGGAAGTGACGGCCGAAGCGACACCCCCTAAAAGGCAGCATTTTGAATCAAAACAAAATTTAATGGTTCTATTAGAAAGGAGAATTGAATATTCCTTTCAATGGTTATTCTCTCAAAATCTATTTGGAACTGTGAAGAAATTTGCCTTGATTCGAGCTGATTGACGCAAGTTCCAAGCGATAGTCGCACTTTGGCAGAGCTGGCTGATCTGCCAGGATATGCGGCGGCGGAGTACTGTAAACAAGCTTTTTTTTTTTTGCGCAAATTTCGCATTCTGTGGTATCTTTTTCGTGTTCAAAGTGATCCTGGGAAGATGAAAATTATCTTTGACTCTAAAAAATTTAGTTAACTTTTCCTTCCTCTGACGGCTATTTTGGATCTCGCGGAATCAATTTTAACACACTATAATTTTGAATATCTTTTTCACTCCTCGATGCTCATTTTTACGTCGAGGAGTATACTTTGAACACGGCATTAAGCAAAAAGTTCAAAAAGTTATAGCTTTACCTGAACGAATTCGGAAAACTGATGGATTTTCAAAGATTTCCGAATAAAAAAGACAATTAAGGATTATCAACAATAGAGTATTGAAACATGAATTGAGAAATAGAATACGAATTTTTTTTTCCGAAAAGCTATTCGCGAAACTTTTTCGCTTGTTTCGACCCATTGTCAATGCTTTCTTCGTGCATTGATTTAAAACATTATTAAAAATATACCCAAAAACTAAACTTAGGAGCGAAAATCATAATCAATAAGGGAAATTTGATTAAGAAGATAAGATCAATATTGATCTGTGGTCAGTTAGAGCAAAATAAAGCTGGTTTTTTAATGAGTCCGATTTTCGATTTCTATCGAGGTGAGTTTTTTATTCTTATTTTTCCAGTACAAAGTGTACCGCGCGAGACGGTGGCCGCTTTTTGAACACGAAAAGCAAAAAAAAACCTACCGTAAACACAGATTTTTTGCGCCTTTGTTCTACAAAACGGTAAAAAAGGTCTCGAAGCGATGTTAATTTGGTTCGACTCGGAACACAATTTCTTTTTATACGTACCAGGGCATTCCAACGTGAAACTCATAAAAAGATTTTTGGAAACTTACTCGGCGAATTTCTTCGCTGAACAGTTCTCTAGCGAGATTGAAAGCCGGAAAAAATACATATTTTCTCTCCTTATCACCGCAGTTTACAGTATGGAAAGCTGTTCGAAAAAACTTCAATCATTTTTTTTTATAAAGATGAAAAATTTCAGTTTTTTTCTTCTTCTTTTTAATAGCACAACGAACCTGACGTTCAAGCTGGCGTCGACCTGACTGCGTTCTTCTTTATAAAAACAGTCGATTTGGTAGGCGACGTCCTTGTGAGTGATTATGAGGCCGTGATGAGACACGACCAACACTGAAGACATCATCATTCCTCGTGAGGGAGCCAGCTAAAAAATATATGCTGGATCAAAAAGTGTTTATTTTAAAAATAATCTGCTCTTAAAAAAACCTATTAGGCCTTACAACACGGGTAAAATTCAAAATTACGTGAGTAGGATATTTTTGAATGGAAATTCATTGAAAGCGCCTTTTTCGTGACTTTTTAATCCGTAAAGTACTTTTCAAAAAGAGAAATTATTTGTAGAAATATAAGAAGGTCAAGAAAAAAATAAAGAGCCGACAAAAAAACATCTTTCCTCTTGAAAAAATGAGAAAAAAAGGAGCTAGGAAGAACCTAAAAATTATGATTTCAAGAAAAAAAATTATTCAAATTAGATCTTCACTTGTTTGATGAAACGAATTAGCGAAATTTTAAAGCATTTAGGATTTCTTTCGTATCGGAACTTTTCACCAAATCCTTTCCCCACCAATAAATTCCGAGTTTTTTTAATGTTCCATATGGACTATATATTAAGTTTATAACCAAAACACAAACAGAAAAAAATAGAAATTATGAATTTTCAGAAAGAAAAAGAAATATACCAGGGGACTTGTCTGAAACGAATCTTTTCTGTTCTACAAAGTTTTCTTCTCGTTGATCGGTGTTTTTTTTTTCCATAGACCTTTTTTTCAAATAAGTTAAATTTTTTCACTGACCTGGCGCTTTCTTCTGCTAGGACAACTGTCGAAAGGAAACTCGTAGGAAATGTTCATTGCTGGATTTTTCGAGAAGTCTGCCTTACATGACTGTTTCTCTTTGTTACCTCTGAAAATTCAAACCGATGTAAATATTTCGATTTATCAATTACCTTAAATAAAGAGCACCGGTAAATGGCTTGTCGTGTTCGATGAGGACCGTAACTCCTATTGAGGAACATTGAATCTTCGGCTCTCCTAAAAGTTTATTTTCAAAATCTAATAACAGGATGGATATTTCTAATAATCACTGACCATACGTAAAATTTTATAAAAATGAAAATCGAAATAGTTTTCCCAGAGTTTTACTTTTTTCCCCAGCCTTCTAGGATCTTTTTCTCTTAAAAGATAGTGTTTGAAAATTAGGAAGTTGACCGAATATTATAAGATCTTTGATGTGAAATCTACCAAACTGAAACATTGATCTAAAAAAATAAGTTTAGAAGAAAAAAATGTCCCAAGCTTAGGTAAAATATTTTAGTAATAAAAAAAAGAACGCTTTCTTGAAAAAAATCCTTATGAAAAAGGATTACAAATCAATACACATTTTTTCATTCCTTGATAAAAAGCTGGCGGTAAGCGGAAAATGAATATAAATTCTCCAACCCACCAATAATAGCTGAATAGACATAGCCCCATAAGCCGAGGAATACCGTTAAAAACAACATTAGACAAAATAATTAATTAGGGGCAGAGGTCAGAGACGGTCAAAAAGTCTGAGGGTGGACCGTAAACGGAGGAGAGGTGGTCCCTCGCGTCGGGGATTAATGATTGGTGGATTGGGGGGAGATATGAGGCCGGCAATCAGATAACACTGTTGAGACCTTGGCATGTCAAATCCGTCCGCCGGTTGGCCTCACCTGTCTCACCGGTCCCTCACCATTTATTTTTTCTAACCAAAATAGAAAATGCAAAGTTCAGAGTAAATTTGGAGCAGAAAAGGTCATTCACTTTTTGTTTCGACTTAAATTCGGAAAACTATTTATGAATTTAAGATCTTACTTGTTGGAAATTTTCGCTGGACTTCTAGACAAATTTCGAAAAGTTCTTGAGGCAAAGATTCTTTTACAGTATTATTTCATACGTAAACTTTTTTTAATTACGCGATATAGTCTGTTCAGATTTTGAATGTCAAGCAGCTAACTCCACCCCCAAGGCTACAATATCCTTCGCGTCAATGTCTTATATCCAGATGACGATGAACCTTTAATAATGCTGCATTTTTGACTTCTTTTTCTATCTTTTAGATCAAAAAAGATCAAAATTAGTCCCGCGCGATAAAACATCGACGCGAAAAGGTACCGTCTCAGCAGGGGCGGAGTTAGCTGGTTGACATTCAAAATCTGAACAGACTCTCTGACCCCAGTCGCCAGCTTTCCGCCAATCTTTCGCGAGCTGGCGCGCCATATCGCGGCGAGCTGGCGAAAAACGCGCCAGAAATTCGCCAGGGTTATCTATAGCGCGCAGATTCCCCCTTTTTTTCAATCATTTCCCTTCCTCCAATATTGTTATTTTTTTATACTAAAAAAATATGTTTTATCAACTTTTATTATTTTCACAAATACAAAATTTAATGGAAATAAAATCAACATATAAAAATCAAACATGAAGAGAACTTGAAAAAAATGAAATTTAAGAAGGAAACGCTTGCAAAGTTTACATCTTAATTTAAAAACAATATCTTTCGATTCGAAAAAAAGATCATAATAACAGAACATCAAAAAAACTTTACCAAACAATACATCTTAGAAAAAAATGTAAGCCAAAAAAATCCGAAGAAATAAAGGAAACTTGAAGCTGACTGCTCGTAAACGCAAAAAAATTTTTGAAATTTAAAAATTTTTTTTAATTTTCGATAATATGCAAAGAGTTATTTGTTGCTTCAAAAATACCAAAAAGAAGAGAGAAATTTTAAAGCTCCAACGCATTTAAGAAGTGATATCGACGAGCAGTCAATTTATATCGGAGACAAAGTTAAAAAAATCCTTTCAAAAAAATTTTTTTAATTGATACATTAAGCAATTTAACAAATTCTCTCAAGTTATTTTCGCACATACTTCGATAAAAGGTTGAAATTAAGAGGATAAAAGAGCAATACTAGAGTCTCTGATATAAAAAGTTTGAGGGAGTTTTATAATCAAAAGGCCGTAAAGTGGTAAAGGCTCAAATTATAATAAATGGCTTAAGTTTTAAAAATTAGTTTATAGAGAATTAAATAGAAGACTCTTATACAAAGTTTTTTTGAAAAGAGAAAAATTTTTTTACTCGTGAAGAAAAACTTTTGAGCCATTTATCACTTTACTTTCAAATGGCCACAAAATAAAGAAAAATAGTGCGAAGAGATTCTGATTGTTCACAATTATGATCAAGACATTACATTTTTGTTGTGCAGTGATACAACACGGTTCTTCAAATTTATCAGCCCCTTTTCAAAGCAAACTACGGAGCGTATTTTTGAGTCCGAAAAAAACTGCTTCGAAAACTCTACTCGTCAGCCGAATTTCGCGAGCATGCCAAATCCGAGTAATATTTTTGAGGCTAAAATATATAAGCTGTATTTTTAAAGCTGAATTTTTACGGACACAAAAATACAATAATTTGGGTGCATCAAGATATTTTTGAGGCTCATAAAGTTGATGAACGTGTAAAGTTTACAAATATAAAAAAACTTGAAAAATTTCGCGGACATTTTTGCGTCGTACCCGTTCTCCGTATTTTGGTCAAAGCATCGTTATCCATTTGCAATGAACATCATGACGCCGTCGGGTGAGATCGAAAATATATCGATGAAGTACTTTACATGAAATCCAAAACTTACCAAAGTCAGAGGAAAAAAAAACATCCTTCAGCCGTAACGGGGACTTCCTGACGATGCTTTTTTTCTGAAGGAAGCTTTTTTGAGGAAAAAAGTCGAAAATACTTACTAATTCAACTGTAGTCTTTCTTTCAGCCTCACGGAAAGAGAAGTTCAGCATGAAAACATTAAGCTTTTAGAGCGGTTGATCATCCACGAAACTAAATCGAGAAAATAATTCGAATTTTCTTATTTACCAACCTTTCAAGCTGTTGTTTTTTAAACCTGAAACCTTCCGTCGCATCACATTTACTGAGCTCTACACAAATAAAAACAAAGGTTTATATTCTAATAATTTTTCTGACTTTTTAAAAACTTCTTTTTCAACTAAAGTCTGTTCTTTTGTTTCGTTTTAAGGAGGATACGTGCCTTTGCTGCAAAAACTCCAGATGTAAAAAAACTATCTTATAAATTTAATTGTCCTGCAAAAAATCGCGTTTCTTTCTTTGAACGACCTACGCAACCTACAGTTTTCTACTTCTATAGACAGCTTTTTGAATTTTTACAAAAAAAAAAGAAAAAATGAAATCAAGAAAAATTGCTTGTTACATCAAAACTGCATTGCGGCATCGCTTCTGCGCTAGTTTGGACAAAACAGGAAACGAACACTGAAAAATCGTGAAATCAGCAAAAAATCAAATAGAAAAACAAAAAGACAAAAAACGCGAGTCCCAAAATTTTAGATCGAAATATAAAATACAGTAATAAAAGCAAATTCGCGCTATTGGTTATGTCGCCAGAGAATCGCCAGGAAACCGCCACAAATTTGATGGGCGCGAGCTGGCGAAATGGCTTTTTCTGGCGGATAGCTGGCGCCTGGGGTCAGAGCTATACACGAAAAATAAGCTTTCGAAACTTTAATGAACAGTAGATTTGAAAGAATTCATACTTTCAAAAACAAACCAGGAAAAAATCATGATTTAAAGTTTTATTGCCCTCATGGAAATGATATAAAATTGGGATATTCTAAAAAATCAAGAAAATTAATGGCGTGTTCATCGGAGAAAAGGAACATGCTTCAAAACGAAAAATCGTGTTCATCGGCGCGCCAAAGTTGCTTCAAAACAGTACTAATTTTTGTTTTGGAGCAATTTTTTTGCGTTTCGAAGCAATTTACGTTTTGTCCGATGAACACGCCATAATAGAATAGTTGCACTTGTACTGGGCCGCATTATGCTAGTAAATAAAACACGAAAAAATGTGCTCCGTAGCGAAAAGTGGAGGGAAGGGAAAATAAAAGATTTTATGATTGTTTTTCGACGAGCCGGTAGTACAGCCCTTTCCTGGCCAGCAGTGACTGATGCGTTCCCGTTTCGACTGCTTTTCCGGCCCGACAAACGATAATTTTGTCCGAGTTCTGCAAGAATTTCATTAAACTAAAGATCTAGAGCCCATTCCGAGTCAAGTTTCCTGATTTTTCTGTGACTGATAAAATTTTCCCCTCTTTTTGGGAGTTTTTCATTCCCTTTCCGAGGTGATTCCGCGAAATCCAAATAAGCGGTCAGACGGTGAAAAAAAAATAAATTTTGAGGCGTCAAAGAAAACAATGAAAATGAATTTCGTCGAAATTACTTTAAAAACGACTTTATCTTCTTTTGTCATTATTCATTGCATTTTAAAGATAATAGTTTCAAAATTTTTGAAACCTTGTCAGTTTGAAGAATATGATATGAAAAAAACATTCAATTACGCTAAAAAGATATTCAGAAAAAAACTCTTTAAAGGGAAAACGCTAAATTACCTGATACAAAATTCTCAAACTGCATCGACAAATTCAATTTGGCTCTTAGTCACGCGAAATATTTTTTTCTACAAATGGACAAAAATATATAAAAACCGCGGAAAAAAACTGAAGAGCCCAAAAAGTTAAAAAAACTTCAGATTATCTCTATCTTTTTGCGTCACGTGACCGAAAAATTTTATTCAAAAATAAAAAAATTTCGTTCTCTGCAAAAAAACGTGAACTTCGCGGCAAGGCGTCATTTTCTTGATATCGAAAAAAATAACACGTGCAAAAAACCACGTGGCAACGTGTCATTTCTACTTGTATGGCTTGGTTTCAAAGGTCGTTCTTGCTTCTCTCACGTTTCCTCTTGCTGCTGGATTCAACTTCAAGATGAGTTTTTAACTTCCATGAAACTTATAACTTTCAAAATTAGTTTCTGATTCGTAAGCGCTAGTAGATTAGGCCCGCGGGACTCCCGGAGTGCCGATCCTTTTTGCTTGCAAATCGGATACGCAATGTCACGCCGAAGCCCATTCCTGTGGCCGAAGCATAAACTGTTGGCAGCGCGATGCTGACAAAGCGATGATGGGACCCCCGCGGAAAATGCCGTCACGGCTTTCGGCGTCTAGGAATCTTAGTTCTGACAAGGCCGAGCGGAGCTCTAGCGCACCGCCTAGTTAGTTCTTCTGACTGCATAAAACTTCCCTAACTAACTTAGGACTTTACATAACTAATCAGTAAAAATACTGCGATTCTAATAATGCAATCGACTTGCTTTTTTCAATTTTGAATTTATTGCAGGAAGCTTTCAACAAACGAGATCTGTCCATCGAGGATTGACAACAACTTCAAATAAAGCAGTTTGATATCTAAAAAATTTATTTTTTTAAATTACTTTTCTTTCAGAAAGAACGAATGGAGCATTCGAAAGAACGAATGGAGCATTCGAAAATTTCAAACGAATTAGCGTGGAAAAATAGTCCATCGAATACTACTGGAAAAAATGATGTGAGGTTTTAAAAGTTTTAGTTTCGAAACATTTTATGATGAGGAAGAAGGAAGGCTTGACCTTATTAAAGCCAGAAAAA